CCCTCCAGCACCCTTGAGGTTTCCAGAGCTGAGCTGGGGAAGCAGAGGCCAAGGCGGGCTTGGGGTGGTGCTTGACAGCCCAGCTGTGTTTTCTCCAGAAGTCGCAGTGTCCCGCACTGGCAAGCGCACCCTCCCCTGTCTCCCACCCAGTAGTCCTTGAGGGAGCTCTGTGAGCCCCAGGGGACTGGCAGTGGGTGCAGCAGGAGAGTCTGGGCTTGTCCTCAGCACCACTCCTTAGGACCCAGCAGGGTTCAACAACCACCCTGCCCCTCAGTAGCTTCAATAGCAGAATGCACATGCTAACCACTGCCGTAGTGGAGATTAAATGAGATGCACGTGGAAGCATTTGGCAACACTACTCCTCTCTGTCTCGGGAAGGAAGCCTCCACCTTGAGACTATCATGCAGCTGGGCACAGACCCCAGGACACTGCCGTTTGTGGCTTTGGTCCCTGTGGTCGCCTCACTTACTCAAGGCACACGGAAGCTCCAGGGCGTTGCACCATCCGGGGCTCCCAATTGCAAGCTGTGGCTGATGTGAGCAGAAGAGCAATTTCTGGAAAGGCTGTCGTTTGGCTCACAGCATCACAGGAAATCCTGCGGGCCTCTCCAGGGAGGGGGGTGGTGAGCTGATTCCAGTAGTTACAATGTGTACTTGGCATGGTGCTTTGAGCTCAGAAATGGTACTGCGCACTGGGCTGGAACCGTGGCACCAGCATCCCATATCCAAGCACCAGTTCAACCCCTTGGCCGTCCTGCTTCTGATCCAGCTCCCTGCTAACACTCCCGGGAAAGCAGCGGGAGATGAACCCCTGCCACCAGCGTGTGAGACCAGAAGGAAGCTTCTGGCTCCTGGCTTCCACTTGGCCCAGCCCAGGCTGTTGAGGCTGTTTGGGGGAGTGAATCAGCAGATGAAAGAACTCTCCCTCTCTGTCATCCTGCCTGCCTCTCAAATAAATAAGTATATAAAGCTTTCAAAACTGGTATCTAATAATAACAAAAGCAGATGTTAGTGTGTAACACTTTGCTCCACTGTCCACCAAGGAATCCAGGCCTCTGGACTGCGGACACTGCGGGTGGAGGTGGGGTGGAAGCTCTGAGGTCCTGCAAGCGCTCTGCCAACCCACACCCCTGGAAGCATTGTCTGAGCCCACGCACTCTCCAGCGGCCGCTGCCCGCGCTGGGCTCCGGCTCCTTCCCCTCCCCTAGGAATCTGGACTTGGCTGGCTGGGCTGCATCCTGCAGCACCGACTGGGCCTTGTTTTCTCTCGGGCAGGAGCCCCTGCAGCTAAAAGGTGCCCTTTTTCTGGACTCTGCCTCTTGACCAGTAAACCACTCCTGAGCCTCTCTCCCCCTACGTGGCCGGGTCTGCGGCCACTGCGGCCATTTCTCCCCGCTCCAGCCCAGCTCAGCCCCAGCCAGGGAAGCTGCGCTTGGTTTTAAGGTTCAGCACCCCCACCACGTACTGGGGTGCAGGTGGCACACACCTGGCAGGGCAGATGTGGGGCATTCTGCTCTGGGGGCCCAAGGCCACACTCTAAGAGGCGTCATGAGACATAGCCCTGGCCCATCACTTCCAGCATCTGCAAACTGGGACCTAAACAGGTGCACTTCCAGGGCGGCCATGCCCGCACCCCGCATCAGAGCGCCTGATTTCAATTCCCGGCTCTGGCTCCTGACTCCAGCTTCCTGCTAACGAATCCTGGCGGGAAGCAGTGAAGGCTTAAGCAGTTGGGTTCCTGTCACCCATGTGGGAGATCCAAACTGGGTTCCGGGCTCCTGGCTTCTCTCTCTGCCTCAGATGAGTAAGAAAGAAAATGAACCAACAGAACACGCACATTTTAAGAGCACAGCTTTGGCTCCTCAGTGCTTTGCGAAGCCGCCAGTCCCGGGAGGCCCTTGGTACTTGGAACGCTTAGAGGAGTCACCAGCCTCCCAGAATGAGACCAGAACGTGACCCGTGGCCCGGCCCCTCTGCCTTCCCACGTGGCAGTCACCTGGACTGTGGTCCCAGCCTCCTGCTGTGGTGCTCCCAGCATACCCCATGCCCCTACCCTGCAGCCAGCACTCAGAAGGAAGGTTCCAGACATGCGCGTCTGGGTGCACTGCGTGCTCTGGGCCCTGCAGCAGCCGGGGAGTGGGGTTCGGCGTAGTCAGGTTCTCCTACCGGATGTCGGCCGTTGGATGGTGACAGACTTTTCCCGTGCAGCTTTCTGGGGCTCCTGGGGTCAGGGCGATGGGGCAATAGCCCGAGTGAGCGGAAGAGCGCCGTTGAACCCTGCTTCCTTCCCCTTATGCAGGGGGCTCACGGCCTGGCTGAGGGAGGCAGCCCCCTAGCCTCCAGCCTGGGAGACCCCGCCCCTGAATGTATTCAGGCACTTGAACCAAGAGGCAGGCTCCAGTCCACAGGAAGACCTGGCGTTCCCAGGAGACAAAGAAACCAGGCTTTGATGAGCAGCTACCAAGTGGCAGGTCCAAGCGCTGCTGCGTGCTGGGTCCACATGGTCACAAGGACCCCCTGGTGAGCCCTGCACTGACGTCACTGACCCCTCACAGATAAGGACACCAAGGTGTTGGTGTGGGGTGCAAAGGGGCAGCACGGAGAGCATTTATCCCCCAACAAGGAGTAGTGACTGGCAGGCCCAGTGCTGTTCATTTGGTGTGGGACAAACATGAGACACCCCAGAGGGCAGGGAGGGCTCCCTGGAGGATGCGGCCTGCGTTCTGCCTCGATCACCCCATCAGGGTCCTGGGAGCAGAAAGAGAACCCCAGCCTGGGGCTGCCTTGGTTTCCAGCCTGGAGGGAGCCCTTCCAGATGATGGATGTCGACCCCAGAGCCGAGAGAGGAGCAGCGATTGGTTCAAGTTCATGTGGCCAGGTAGAGGCAAGACCAGGTCTCGCCGTCCCTCATTGACCTCACCCTAATCCTGGCTTGCCTGTGTCCCCTGTCCCATGGGGCAGAGCCAGGCCAGGAAGCTCTCCCAGCAATGCTTCCCTTGGGACTAACCCTTGGCTCCTGGGGGCTCACCTAAGTGCAGCCCCGTTTCCTGCTGTGGCTCAGAGCTCTGGGTGCCAGAAGCTGTTGGATCTTTGGCCACGGCCACTGATTTCCTGTCTGTGACCTTCTTTTGGGCTGGTGATGGCTGGGCTGCCCAGAGCCACCATGGGGACACAGACAAGCTCTGCAGTGTTCTAAGAAAGCCGGCAAGTGCAAACACCCTCCCACTCCAGAGCCGCTCCCCGGGGGGGCTGCTTTGCTGGTTCCCTGCCCCTCAGTCTCCAGACACTGCTCTCATGCAGTGCCCAGAAGACGGTCTCTCTCTATCAGCTCCCCCCCACCTCCAACGCCTGGCTAGAGTCTTGCCTCCTCCTGGAAGCCTTGGGGGATTGCCAGGCCAGGCTGAGCCCATCCTTCTTAGTGTGCAAACACTTCCTGCCTGGAATCTACACTGTGGGTTCTGCCTTCTATTGCATTATTCACTACAGAATCCGTCTTGTGTCTCCCTTTGGGATTGCAGTGATGATGATGGTGGTGGTGATGGTGCCCCACCTTGTGCTCCTAGGGGCTGGTGCCTCCAGGACCAGGCTGCTCAAGGGGGCCTTTGTGGGGGGCCCGGCTGTCGCCAGAGTTTGTGGGCGGAGCACAACATTTGCACCTGTCTCTCAGAAGTTGCCCCTCAAGCCCAGCCCCGCACAAGGGCCTCCCTTCCACCCCTGGAGGCTGCCGCCCCCAGCCCCTTCCTCAGCTGCATCCTCCCCACCCCCCACCCAGGATCAGAGCGTGGGGCCAGAGGAGGTGGGGCCTGGGCAGGTGAAGGAAGGCAAGGGCTGGGAGGAGGAGAGGTTAGGGACCTCCCCAGCCACAGGGAGGGCCTTTGCTTAACCCTGAGCACCCAGATCTGGAGCGTGGGGGCAGGCAGGAAGCTGAGACTCAGCAAGGTTAAGTGAGGAGCTCCAAGTCACACAGCCAGGATGTGGCAGGCCAGGATCTGGGCCAGGTTCGCCAGATTCCACGTGCACACCTTTAACTGTGCAACCAGAGACGCCGGGCACAGGGGAGGCCGTCTCAGGTCCTGAGCACCAGGTCCCACTTCCTTTGCGCTCACCCAGCCCAAGGTCAGTGCCGGAGGCCAGAGGCCCAGGGTGGGGCGAACCTAGCTCGTCTCCCTGAGGCGCCGGGGCTCCAGGGCCAGCTGGCAGGGCAGCTTGGGTCAAGGCTGTTTCCTGAGGCACCTTCTGCATGCAGGGTGACAAGGTGACTCATGCCTGCGCTCTCCCTGCAGCCCCCAGACAGCCCTAGGGCGGCCACTGCTCCCTCCTGGCAGCGAGAAGCCGAGAAGCCTGGCACATCAGCGGGGTCAGGAACCCGAGCAAACTCACAGGGGCCTACGAATTCAGATGGGCTGGGCTTTCAAGCCGATTGGCTTTCTCCTAGACCAAGTCTACAGAGTAAGAATAGCAAGGAGAAAAAAGAGCAGGAGCCTGAGCCAGCGCCCACAAGGCAGCCCGCGCGCAGAGTCCTACTGAGACAACGCGTCTTCCTTATGACTCAAGCCACGTGGAGTGGGGCAGCAACAAGCCCACGTCCTGATTGTGGCCGTGGCCACACGTGATCTACTCAGGCACTGAAAGTCACAGACCCACGGAGACCAGCCCTGCGAATCTGGCTCCCGCCTGCTCGGGAATCCCAAGAAAGCCCAGGGAAAGCTGACGTTCTAAGTGAACACTACTCAAGTGAGCACTTTCTATGCACAATGAAACAAAGTCAATAAACTCAAGGAAACAGCGCCAGGATAAAAAGCTTGGGAAGAACACTGGGCCCGTGAATACAGCTGTCCAGAAGAACTTGCAAAGCGGACTCGTTCCTTGCTTGAGGACTTTATAAAAATGATAAATTCCTAAGCAAAAGCAGATACCAAGTGAATAAAAAAAGTAAGAGTCGTAGAACTAAAAGAAATTATATGAGGCAAATATGTCTTACTGTTAGGATTTTATACACTTGTGCTTGCTTCGGCAGCATGTATGCTAAAATTGGAATGATACAGAGAAAATTAGCTTGCCCCCTGCACAAGGATGACATGCAAATTCATGAAGCATTCCATATTTTTTTTTAAAAAGTTGTATACACTTAGGTAGTCTGCTCTTCTCTGTGTGTCTGAAATGTTTTATAATAATTTTCAAAAAAAAAAAGGCAGAAGAGCCGGTGTTATGGCATAGCGAGTAAAGCCGCCACCTGCAGTGCCGGCATCCCATATGGGCACCAGTTGGAGTCCCAGCTGCCCCACTTCCGATCCAGCTCCTACTAATGTGCCTGGGAAAGCAGTAGAAGATGGCTCAAGTGCTTGGACCCCTGCACCCGTATGGGAGACCTGAGAGAAGCTCCTGGCTTCTGATTGGCCCAGCTCCAGACGTTGCAGCCATTTGGGAAGTAAAACAGATGGGCCAGGCTGCAGCCAGGAGCTGAGGACCCCACTGGGTCTCCCACATGGGAGGCAGGGGCCCAAACACTTGAGCCATCCTCCACGACCTTCCCAGGCATGTGAGCAGGAAACTGCATCAGAAATGGAGTAGGTAGGACTCAAACCAATGCGGGCAGCTTTACCTCCTGCGCAAGGCCAGCCCCTTGGGAGTCTAATTCTACAGCCATGCGAGGCATCATCATATGATTTCATCTAAGACTCCTTTCCTAGCTGACACCTTCACAGAAGCAAAATCTGCCTGGGCCCAGGGCTACTCAGGGCCGTAGGGCAGTTAAGAGCTAGAAGGGTTCAAAAGTGTGCAAGAGAATTCGGCAAAAACCAGGTTTTATGAAAAGTTGTCGATCTCTGTGTCTGGGCTCTTTCCCCCACACGGATGCTCACGGCTCACTCTGGGTGCCCCCGCTGGTCACAGCAGGGTAGAGCTGGGATGAGCACCAGCGTCGCAGGTCCTTCTTAGCAACTACCACAGGTGGGTGGAAAAGTCTTCCCTCCCTGAAAGGCAGAGTGACCACGACGGTCACTTAGCTGCGCTGTGACTCAGTTTCATCTCCAAAGCGGGAAAGAATCGTCCCTCCCCTGTGCGGGGCTCTCAGGCTCACAGATTCCCCATGTGAAGTACTGGCACTCGGCTGACATCTAGACATGGCCACTGCCTGCCTCCCCCAGCAATCCAGGAGGAGTCTGATTGTGCAGGCGGGGGCAGGGGGGAGCAAGAAGGGAGATCCTTTTAGAAGCAGATGAACAGAAAAAAAAAATCCTCAGGTTTAGCAGGCTTCTTTAGACTTTCATAAAATCAGAGTCCAGAAGACAGAGCGCCAGGGGGCTGATGGGGACTCAGCGGGAGAGAAGCTGGCTGCCCCCTTGGCAGCCCCGCCCCTCCTCTCATCACCATGGAAACTGAAGGGCTGCCTGGTGGGGTTTCCGCCCACCCAGGGCCTGAGGCTGCCGCAAAAGGAGGGGCAGAGACTGCCCAGCAGACGGAAGCTGAGACGAGGCTGGAGCTGAAGCACTCAGGGCTGGGGTGGGACGTGTCTGGTGGACAGCACGGGGGCCCCAGCTATGTAAGCAGCACACTGCATGTCTGCAAAACCTCATTCTGCATCTGTCAAGGGAAGGGCTGAAAAATGCAGAAAAACCAACGCATGGTTAAAGAAGTTGTAGGAGGACAATGCAATGATACATTTAAGTCTGGGGGAGACCATTCGCGCAGACGCACGCACATGCACGCATGCGGTCATGCACGTGCACACCCGAGGTTCCCAGGCACCACTTCTGGCAGCGTCGGGGGCTGTGGCCCCAACTGTTATGGAAAGTCCACAGGATCAGAACAACGAGGACAAGGTTCTGTGTGAACGAAAGAGATCACTGACTGTGGATTAAGGAGGAGAGTCTCTGGGACCCGCTGTGCTGGAGGAGGGTGCTTGTGCCCACAAGAGGCTGTAGAAGCGGGTGCTGGCATGGCACAACCACAGAAGAGCTGCAGGTGTCTGGTGTTGGGGGCCAAGGCTGGCCCTCCATCCATGGCAAGGTGTTCCTGTTGCATCACAGGTGCCTGAGGCCCACAGGTGGGGAGATCAGACCCAGTCTGACAAGGTCCTCCGGCTGCACAAGAGGCTGGAGATAAGAAACAAAGCAACGTGTGCCTTAGGATACAGCCGAGCGGGAAGCCACCTGTCCAGCCCTGGAAGTCTCGGCTTCCCAGCTTTACACTGAAGTAGTAAAAATTGTTTGCTTACGTTATTTTATACCTGGTTACACAACCTGGACGGGGAGCTGCAGCCGCCCGCCCCTCGCCCGCCCCCATCCGGTCCCTTCCTCCTTTCCAAGTCCTACCGGCTTGCACTTCCCCAGCCGGTTCCTTTATAGCTGCCTGCTTCCCCTCCAAGGCCTTGAGGTTGTGGCAGCACTAGAGGACCAGGGAGGACATGGCCAGGGGTCCTGAGGGCGTGCGGAGCTGGCCAGCCCTGGTGCTGCTGGCCGCCGTGGTCACCGCTGAGACAGAGGCCACCAACCCTGGCTTCACGACCAGGATCTCCCAGAAGGGCCTGGACTATGGTAATTGGACACCTTCCTTCCCTCCCCTCCCACGTCTGAGGTGTACTGACTGAGCACCTACTGCGTGCAGCCCTTTAAATCCAGTGCACAGTATGCTCACAGCTCTGCAAGGTAGGTGTCCCTGTTGTACATGTGCAGAAGCCGAGGCAAAGCGAATCGGCCAAGACCACAGGGCTGGGAAGTGGCGCTGTGCAGACTGCAACGCTCCGAGAGGACTCCTAGCCAGTGCTCAGCCTGCTAGGTTTCCTCGTGGTCCCCTCTCCCTACCCGACCTCCGTCTTGGGCTTCTAGGTCCTTCTCTTTTTTCCAGAGTCGGTGCGCAGGCTTGCTGTTCGTGCCTGGAGGTTGGGCAGGGACGAAGGGGAGTGTGGGCTTGCAGAAGGGATGCAATTTCAGCTCTGGTCTCATCAATGCTGCAGCGCAGGGCTGCTCAATGCTGCCTCTCAGTGGCAGAGAGATGAACTGCAGAGCGGCCTCAGCCCCAGGGAAGTTGGAACCAGGGGACTCAGATCCCCACCAGCTGTGTGTGTGTGTGTGTGTGTGTGTGTGTTTGGTAGGAGAGAGAGGGAGCAGGACCGCACTCAGGGGCTTGGGACCCTACTCCTGAATTCCCACCCCAGCCCAGGCAGGGCATCTCTGAACCCGGGGTGCAGACCAAAGGCCCCACGTGAGCTCCAAACCCACAGCAGGGATGGCCTGAAGGCTTCCTGGAGGCAGAGCCTGAGCTGAGGGCTTCACCTGCAGAAGTGCTCACGCTCGGTCACAGCTGCCTCAGTTTCCCCGTGCGCCGCCCAGAGTGAGCCTTGTGGAGCTCAGTGAGTCTGTTTCTGTCCTCGCATCGCCCACACCACTCAGGGCTCCCTGGCGTCTCCCCAACTTCTCCGGGTCCCTTCTGGCCCCAGCGATCTGACAGCCTGCAGCCACAGCACCTTTCCCGTCCCCTCCGGGCAGGGACCATGAGCTCACTTTTGAGCCCCCACCACTACCACCACCAAAGGTCGACCCAGGGCATGGGCTCTGGGACCAAAAGGCCTGGGTTCCGACCCTGCTTCCACCACTTGTGGGCAGTGCAACCGAGCAAGGTCCTCACCGTTCTGAGCCTCAGCTTCCTCATCTGCGAAATGGGGGTATGACAGGACTGGCTTTCTAGGATGGTTCAGACTCAATAACTTAATGCCGGTGCAGAGCCTGGCACAGAGGGAGAGCTTGGTAAATTCTATTATTATTGTCGTTGTTGTTGTTACTATTTTTCCTTTTTCAAATTGGATGTGTTATGATTTCTGGCTTCTTGAAAAATACAAAGTCTGGGTTCCCTCCTCCTCCAGTTTACTCCTCGGGCAATGTGTTTGCCTTTTCATCAACTCTTTGCCGGCCACGTAATAGCCGATGGTGGAATTGCCACCTTTGGAGTGTTTATTCAAGAGTAAGTGCCGGGCACTGTGGCAGGCGGAGGGGACGCAGTAAATGCCACTGACCCTGCCATTGACCTCAGTGGGGGAGGGAGACATTAATCCAAGTCACACAAACAAATGCGTGGTTACCAACAGTAGTGGGGGCCTCAAAGGAGGTGTCCACGGCGTCGTAAGAATGACAAGGGGCGCACCAGGCTCCTGAGTCGGGAAGGGTCCTGGAGGAAGTGAGGAGCAGTGGACTGGGGGCCGACCAGGGAATAAGAGGGGCACAGCTTTCTGGGCCGCAGGAGCAGCACTTTGCAAAGGTCCTGGGGACGGAGTCCGAAAGCCAAAGGGAGTAGTGTCTGCGCGGCCTGGCCAACGGCGTGGAGGAGGTGTTCGGCACCGCTGGCGGACACAACCACTGGTGTTTGGGAGGTGGTGTTTTCGAGCACGGGTCAGCAAACTGCAGCCCCCAGGCCAACTCTGGAGGGTCTTAGGCGGCCTTTGAGCTGAGAGCGGCTTTCACACGTCCAAACGGCTGATAGAAACCTGATGAAGGGCAGTACCTCCCAACCCAGGAGAGCGATCCGAAACTCCAGTTGCTGGAATACAGCCACGTTCACCTGTCACAGCGACCTGGGGCCACCTGTGTGCGTGAGAGCAGAGCAGAGTGAGACAGAGGGGCCTCCAGGGCTCGAGGCACTGACCTCTGGCCCTTTATAGAAACCCTTTCCTGGTCCCTGTTTGAGATCTCCCACAAGTCCCGCCACCCCTGCCACGCACAGGGCCACGGGCAGCGCTGCCCTGCACCCGGGCCCGGCCGCTGACCGCCGGCCCCTGCCCTGCCCCTCCTGTGCCCGCAGCCTGCCAGCAGGGGGTGGCCGTGCTGCAGAAGGAGCTGGAGAAGATCCGCATCCCCGACGTCTCTGGAAAATTCAAGCTCAGGCCTTTCGGGAAAGGGCACTACAACTTCCACAGGTGAGGCTGGAGACCGCCCTCCGCAGGATCCGCTTGCGAGCAAGACCTCGGGTGGCAGGGGGCTGAGGAGCTTCCCGGGGGACCTGAGCCCCTAGGAGGGGCGTGGAGGAAGCCGCAGGAACCGCCTCGTGCCCCCGCCATGACTCCTGGGGGACTCAGGGACCCCAGGACCCTGGGCCAGGCCCATGGCTGGGTGAGGGCTGGGGCATCAAGGACAGAAGACCTAATGCTGGATGGCCGGAGCCGGAACAGTGGTGGGGGTGGCCCAGCTACAGGTGCAGCTGGAGGCAGGTGCAAATGTCCTTGGAACCCGTTCCCCGCCCCCACTCCCCACCACATCTGAGCATCACTGCCACAGAGCGGCCTTGTCCCTCGGAAGGCAAGATGGCACTCAGCCAGGAGGTGCCATCAGTCTGGGGCGGGGCGGGGGAGGGGTTCTCCCATGGTGACATGGCCGTTCTCATGTCACAGGAGGGGTGAGAGTTTGGGCAGAAAACCCATGAGTGTCCTCTCAAGAGCTTTATACACCCGCTCATTCCCCGGGTCCTCTGAGCACCTGCCCTGTGCCTGACACAGCGGGGCTGCAATACTGAAAGAGGCAGACACGCCCCAGCCCTCTGCAGGGCTTCCAGGCCTTGGGTTCATGTGCGGCATCTTTGCTGCCGGCCACACACCCTGCAAGCCAGAGATAACTGTGCCCATTTTACAAGCAGGGAAACTGAGGCTTGGGGTGATTCAAGGGTACACCCAGGGTACAATGGAAGAGCAGGACTCGAGCACAGCTCTGTCTGCCTTCCCAGCCCAAGTTTCCCAGTGCCCACAGATTTGCCAAGGCCGCTGTCAGAACTCCTGGCTCCTCCCCGGGGCGGACGGGCTGAAGGACCGGGGTGGGGCGGGGGGCCGAGTCTGCTCTGACTCCTGGCCCAGTGCTCCACCAGCAGCGGGGGGCTCACTGAAGGTTTCTTCTCTGCAGCTTGGTTGTCCGCAGCTTCCAGCTTCCCAATCCCCAGATCAGGCTGCAGCCCAACGTGGGCCTTCGCGTCTCCATCAGCAATGCCAATGTCAGGATCGGCGGGCGCTGGAAGGCCAGGAAGGGTTTCATGTGCGTGTCCGTGCTCAGGGGTGGGGGTGGGGGTGGGGGGCCAGGCTCTCAGGAGGGCCCAGGGTGTGCCTTGTCCATCACCAATGTTGCCCGGGGGTCCCTAGAGGAAGATTTTTTTTTAAAGATTTCCTTATTTATTTTTATCTATTTGAAAGACAAAGCATGAGAGAGCCAGAGACAGAGAGAGATCTTCTATCCATTGGTTCACTCCCCCAAATGCCCAGAACAGCTGGGGCTGGGCCAGGCAAAAGACAGGAGGGAGGCAGGCCAAGTCCATGGGCCTGCTGCCTCCCAGGGGAATTTTTTGAGCAGGAAGTTCAGTGTAATCCCTGAAGAACAGCTGGGCACTTGGGCACATGCCCCCGCAAGCCATGGGCACGGCTGAGTCAGTCCGTGTCACACAGCACCTGTCGCTCACTCGCTTTGTCAGTCACCTGTCGCCATGTAACAAACCATCCCCAGCTCAGTGGCTTAGAGCTGCCGTCACGTGTTGCATTTCTTACCATTCATGTATCTGGGTATCCGCTGGGGTCAGCTGATCTAGGCATCTCCTTCGCCTCCTGGGACCAGTGGACTGCCTAGAGCATGTTCGTGGAGACAGCAGAGGTACAAAAGGGAAGGCAAAAATATGCAGATCCTCTAAGGCCCAGGCTCAGAACTGACCCATGGTCACTTCCGTACGTAGTCATTGACCAAATCATATCATGTGGCCAAGTCCAAAGTCAAGAGCAACAAAGTGCACCTGCCTCCCCCCCTCACCCCTTGACAGACAGTGGCAGAGGTGTGGCTACAGGAAGGGGTGGAAAACTAGGGCCACTCATCCAAGCTACAGCTCTGAATCTAAACACTGGGCGACCCCACCCGCAAGGACCTGAGGCTCAAAGGCCCAATCACTTGAGGAATGTCCGTCCCTTTGTGGGGAGTCTGGGGAGAAATCGCAAGAGAAGCCACCTTGGGCGAGGAGAGGGCTCGCTCTGCTCCCCGTGGGAAGAGCTGCTTGATTCTCGACAGCCGTGGCTGTACACCTGTCACCCCACTTCTTGGCCACTCACACACATGATAATACTTCATCCCCTTATAGAAGCGCGGACAAATGACATCCTTGGCCACCGTCTCACCCAAACCTCATTCATCCCGAGGAGTTATGAAGCTCGTTAGCTAATTGCTGTCTCATTAGTTTAAGTCATTGGCCCGAGGGCGCAGGTGTTTAGTCCAGCAGTTACGATGCCGCCTCCCACCTGGGGGATCTGGGTCTGACTCCCGGCCCTGGCTTCGGACTCCCGTTTCCTGCCAATGCAGCCCTGGAAGGGGAAGGCGGTAGTGAGGATCCTACCTGTGTGCGAGATCTGGCTTCAGTTGCTAGCTCCCAGTTTTGGTCTTGGTCCAGCCCTGGCCATTTTGCAAGTATTTGGGAAATGAACCAGCAGATGGGCGTTTCTCTCTCTCTCTCTCTCAAGTAAATAAATAATAAGTAAAATTTACAACTAAGTTATTGGCCCCAAGCTCCCAGCTATTTAGCGGCAATGCTGAGATACACACTGCGATATCAGACTGCTGGTCCAGGGTCTGGGTGAGGATGCAAAGGCTCAGAGAGGTTGATTAACGTGTCCAAGACCACACAGCAAGGGTAGTGGCTGAGGCCAGGGTTGACAGCAGTGCTCTGCCAGGCAGACCCGGGTGGGACTTCAGGTGGGAATCCTGGCCCCACCCCTCAGCTGCTGTGTGACCTTGGAAGATCATGGCTCGTAGCAGTGGGGATCGTGGTTAAACTGCAGCCCAGCCTGGGGCGTGAATGCAGTGGGGAAGAAAGCGCTCGCTCCAAGCCCTTTCTCTGTCTTCCTCCAGCAAAGTCAGAGGCAAGTTCGACCTGAGCGTGGAGGGCGTCTCCATCTCGGCGGACCTCAAGCTGGGCAGTGTCCCTGCCTCGGGCCGTGCCACCGTCACCTGCTCCAGCTGCAGCAGCAACATCAACAGGGCCCGCTTGCGGGTCTCAGGCATCCTGGGGTACGACCTCCTGTGGCGTGGCTGGGACAAGGGACTTGGAGAGGAACCGTCCCACTCGTACCGGTGTCCCACACACCAGCCCGTGCCAGGCCTTGTCCGGGGGTCTCGGGGGTGGAGGGAGTCAGAGGCAGGCAGGACAAGGTAGACACTGGTCATTCGGTATTCACTGAGCACTTTCTACACTCCGGGTTCCTGCTAAGCATGCGATCCGGGCACTGAGTTGTATAATCTCACGGTGAGTCTGCGGGCATTCATCCACCCACCCACTCAACAAACACCTGCTGACATCGGCTGTGCACAAGGCGTAGGCAGGACAGACCCGGGTCACAGCAGCGACCGGTGAAACACGGAAGAGGGAACACCAGCCAGAGGCTTCCATGCACTGTCCTTGACTCCCACAGTGACTGCCAGGTTGGTCCACTGTTACCCCATTCTTGGGGAGAAAACCAAGGCACCGAGGCTAGGAAATAGCCTACATTGCCGCAGCCAGTGAGTACTCCGGCCCAGGACTCTCTGGCCCTGGCCTGTGACGGGACAGCCCTGTGGGGCAGGCACACGCTGATGAAATCATTGTTTTCATGAACGGCTCACATACAATTATGGAAGGAGATAAGAACTAAGAAGAAGAGGTACAAAGTGCTACCAATACACGGAACAGGAGGATCTGACCCAACCTGGGGGCTGGATCTTTCTTCTTTGATGAAATAACATTGGGATTGAGATGAAAAGAATAAGTAGGCGTTAATTAGGTAGAAGTCGGGAACAGCATGTGCAAAGGCACTGTGGTGGGAGGATGCACAGAGTCCACAGCAGGCCAGGGTGGCTGCTATATTGCAGAAGAGGGTGAGTGGGTGGAGAGGGAGAAGAATGAGCGCGAGACTGGGGCAGGGGCCCAGCCGTGCAGCTGTTAAGGAAATAACCCCACAAGCAAGTCCCTGCAAATGGGGGGAAGTGCTGAACAGGGTGTGTGCACTTGGAGCTCGCGGAGGAGGTGCCCAGGCCCATGTGAAGGGGGAGGAAGGCCCTCCTGAGTCCAGCTGGGGGACACCTGGACGCCTCACTCATGCTTGTCACTCTGCAGGTGGCTGCTTAAACTCTTCCACAAAAGAATCGAGTCTTCGCTCCGAAACACCATGAACAGCAAGGTAGGACGCCGCCCCCAGAGGTCATAACCTCACACCCCCAGCCCCTACCCCGCACCCCGCTGTAGCCCCAAAGCCGGCTGTAAAGTTCAGTCGTGAGGATGCCACGGGGGGTGGAGGGGTCGCCATGGCCGCCTGCCCCTCCTCCCCAGAGCCCCTCACCACGCTCCCACCCAGGGCACACGCCTGGGGCTGGCCAAGGGCCGGGCCCCGCCATGCCTGGATCCCTGAGCCAGCTGCTTCAGCTGAGAAGGGAGGCCAGCCGGCGCGTGGGATCCTTGGCAAACTCGGCGTCAGCGCCCACCTGAGCCCCCTTGAGGGGCCCGTGCTGAGCGTGGGCTTCCTCCAAGGGCAGCGGGGAGCCACTGATGGGTGGGAGCAAGTGGAGGACCTGAATAACACCCCTGAGAATGTCCAGGAGGGCAGAGAGACCCCTGAGGAGGCTCGTATGGGCTCTGGGGGGTGGGGAGGAGACATTGGTCTCCTGGGAAAGGCACAGAAATGCAAGGAGGGAGACTTCCGCCGAGTGGGCTGATCTCCGGCCATGCTGGCTCTGAGTTTACAAAGGTATGATGTGTGCACATGTCGGCATGCACAGTGCAGTGGATTCGTGAACGGGTCAGGTCCCCTGAGACTGCCGGAGCAAGTGACTTGGCCTCATGGGCCTCCACCTCTCCATCTGTGAAATGGGCACATGAGTGGCTTCTTCTCTATGGTGGTGTGGGGATTGATTGCTGCGGTAATACAGACCCAGCTTGGCACCCATGCACTCGCTGGGCCTGCAAGTCCTCTGTCGGCACTGATGAGAGCCACCGGGGTGCCAACGCCTTCCGGCTGGCGGAGGGATACAGCGGGCCCAGCTCCCTCCATGCCACCCTCTCTCCCTGGCCATAGGTTCCTCTGAGAGCAACAATGGGGTCCTCCCCGGGGCTCCTGGAGCTTTCTGTGATAGGAACACGCCCCATGGGAAGCAGAGCTGTGCCTGCCCCTGCCCTCCCCTGAGACTCCTCGGGCAGCCAGTGAGGAAGGGGGGAGGGGAGGGCCATGGGCCCTGGGCAGAGGTGAGGCCAGCCCCAAGCAGGAGCGAGAACTGGGCAGTTGGCTTTGGGTTGTGCCAGTCCGGGGGCCTGTGGGACATCCAGGAGCAGCTGTCCAGGAGGCAGCTGGGTCCCCAGGCCGCAGTCAGGGGAGAGGCCTGAGACACACACCGAGCTCTGGCTGGTGGCTGCAGAGGCTCTGCTGCGGCACCGACATGGCATCTGGGGCACTGGGGCAGTTCTGCTGGTGGCTCTCTGAGGCACCTTGGCTCCCTTCCCAGCCGTCCCAGAAGGGGAGGGAGGCAGCGGGTGGGGAGACTTAGGGCCTCCCAACTGCGGCCCTACTGAGAAAGTCCCAGGCAGCGGGGAGCAGTAGCGTGCGAGGCAACGGATCACACCGGGTGCAGGTGACCCCACAGCAGCCCCAGAGGGCCCTGGGTGTGCTAACGTGGCTCAGGGAGTGGAGCATGTGGGGGCAGCAGGGAGTTGAGGGGAGAGCCCGGAGGTGCACCCCAGCCCTCAGCCACGGGGGAAGAGCTCCTGGCAAGCAGTGGCTGGGGACGAGAGAGTAAGGCCTGGGAGAGTGGGCCGAGGCCTTGGCTAGAAGGTTCTAGAAGTTTTTCTAGAAGAGCGTGGGCAGCCGTGCCTGGGGCTGAAAGGCAAGGACTGAAGAGACCCAGCTGATGAACAAGCTGAAGGCCACTGAGAGTGACATGGGGGCGGGGCTGCCAGACCACGGTGGGCCAGCTCTGTCCCTGCACGTTGGGGCAGGCTGTGACGAAGCCTCCGTGCCAGCTGCCTGTGGCTGTGCAACAAGCAGCCCCGAGTCTAAGGTCAGGGGACAAGTTCTTGCTCAAGGACTCTGTGGTTCTGTGGGCACGGCTGCGGCCTCTCCCTGTGCCCTGATGCCTGGGATCGTCGGGGAAAGTCAGAAGCTCAGGGCTGGCGTCACCTGGACAGCTCCCCCTCCCATCTCTGATCCCTGGCTCCTCTCGCTGGGACTCAGGACCCAAGCAACGGCCCTACCGATGGCATGGGACTCCTGCTGCTTGTGGCCAAGGACTGGGTTCACAGAAGGAGCCCTGGCCAGGCAGCGATGATGCACACCAAAGCAGAAGCCACACGCAAGGTCACCTCCCACTGTGTCCTGTTGGCTCGAAGCAAACCCACAAGCCCCTGTGGCTAGGGGTGTAGCACAGCCACAACGCAGGGGAGTGAGTGGGATGGGCGACGTGACTGGCCATGCTCCATTCTACAGAGGGGGATGGGCGACGTGACTGGCCACGCTCCATTTACAGAGGAGAAAGCAGAGGTCTAGAGAAGCAGAGTCGCTTTCTCAGTGGCCAGGTCAGCCTGACCCAAGCCAGCTCTTTCCAGACCACTGCTTGTCCCCCTGGGAGTCACGGGGGTGGGGGTGGGGGGTAGAGGAAGCAGGGCTTGGCTTCTCTGGCTGTGCACAACAAAGTCCCACCCCCCTGGAGCAGAGCGCCAGCCCCTGCTCCCAGAAGAGCTGACCACTGACTACCTCGTGTTCGTTTTTTTGAACCACCTCATTTCACAGAGGAGCTGAGATAGCAAGAACAAAGGGAAAGTGGTCAGCAAGAAACCCGCGTTATAAGGCAGGAAGCATAAATACATCAGGGCAGGAAATGGAACGCGGTTGTGCGGGTCACATACAATTACCATTTCCAAGCTGTTGTGCCCTGAGCGTCCTGGTGGCCCAAGAGCAAAGGGAAACTTGATTAGCTATGTGGTTTTCATGGAAACATACAAAGAAAGCAAAACCCGGCCGGGTCGTTATTCCCAAAGGACATTTCCCACCGGGGACGCCCTCACTGATCGCATCTTTGGTTCTCCCAGATTTGCCAGGTGCTGACCAGTTCTGTGTCCTCCAAGCTGCAACCTTATGTCGAGACTCTGCCACGTGAGTGCGGGTGGGGATGGAGAATAAGGGGATGGAAGCGGGGGCGTGAGGGAGGCGGCAAGCTTCCCAGACAGGCCGAGGCCTGGGAGCCACTGGGAAGAGCAGGGGATTCTCTAATGGCAGCGGTGTTGGCAGGACCTGCGGCAGGTGCAGAGTGAGATGGAAAAGCAGCCGGAGACCCTGGGCCCCTGAGGCCAGACACGCGCCACTGACCTGAGATCTGGTGCTGGTGGCTTCTCCCTGGAGCTCAGTCCCCACGACACAGCATGGGGCCAACACTCTGTCCTCCCCTCCCCGCCCCGCCCCGAGCATGGGGCCGAAACACTGTCCCCTCCACCCCGAGCATGGGGCCGACACGCTGTCCCCTCCACCCAAGCATGGGGCCGACACTCTGTACCCCCACCCTGAGCATGGGGCCGACATGCTGTCCCCCCCAGCATGGGGGCTGACACTCTGTCCCCCCCCAGCATGGGACCAACACTCTTTCCCCCCCCCCTGCCCCGAGCATGGGGCCTACACACTGTCCTTCCCCCCAGCATGGGCCAACACTCTGTCCCCCCCAGCTCTTGGCCTGGCCCTGCCAAGGCAACCGCAGGCAGGCCTCAAAATTCAGTCAATCTGTAGCGGACTCATTTTTAAGTGGGTAATTTTGCATGGCTCACCAATTGTTATAAATCTCCAGCTGGCCTTGGCAGAAAAAAAAAAGTTCCCTGCTACCTGAACTTATGCCTCCCAGCATCTGCGAGCTGACTGGTGGCACCCAGTCCTACAAAGGACAACAAGTGGCTCTGAGACCGGCAAGGGCTTGTCCCCATCACACGGGTGCCATTCACGCCCAGGTGTCTCTGCCCCGCATCTTGTGCTTCAGCCACTTATCTCGGGCTGAGAGAAGGGAGCGGGAGGGTGTCTGGGCAGGTGGGTGGGCTCCGTTTCCTCTAGTAGAGCTCAGGGCGGGCTCCTTGGAGGAGGTGAGTGGGACGAACACGGAAGTTCTTGAGCCAGTGTGAGAGGATGTTGCCATGGGAACCAGCTCACGAGCCATCTTCTTTCTGGCCAGTGAAAGAGAGGCTCGATTCCGTGGCCGGGATCGACTACAGCCTGGTGGCACCGCCAAGAGCCACGGCCGACAGCCTGGACATGCAGCTGAAGGTGAGGCTGCCGCTGAGAATCCCCTGCCCGCGGGCTCTGCCTCAGCCCCTGCAGGGCTCCCCGAACCCTGGGAAACAAATCTTCCAAGGACTCAAAGCCACCCTCTCGCCACTCTCTGCTCCACTTCTCCCCACACCCTGTCCCCCCCGCTTTGCACCTCAGTGATGTAACAAACACAGCCCCCAAAACCAAAACGCGGCAGCATCCGCTGACAGTGCACACGGCACTCCCAGCGCTCCCCTCTTTCCAAATGTTGCTCACTTGGAAGATGAAACAGACAGAACCGCGTTGTTCTTTGGACAGCATTTCTGTGCTTTGCTAGGGATGCTGGGACTGAGCGGGGGGAGCGGGTGGGGGCCGGCTGGCTGGACCCTGCGTGCCCAGGTTCAATTCCTGCCTCTGCCTCGTGCTGGCGGTGTGGCCTCGGGCAAGTCACAGCACCTCTCTGGGCCTCGGCGCCCTCTCCTGTGAAAGAGAGAGAGCAAGCTCCCTTCCCTGCTGGGGACGGCATGCAAAGCGCTCAGAAACTCACAACTGAGGGGCGCCTGGCGTCCTGAGGGTCTGGTGCAGCTGCTTCTCTTGTGAGCATGTCACCCCCGCAGCCTGCTTCCCCCTGGTGTGGGGGAGGGGAGGAGTTGTCACCCTTGCAGACGGGCTGCTCACTCTGCTGCTGCACCCCCAGGGCGAGTTTTACAACGTGGCCCGCCCCAGCCCACCGCCCTTCATGCCGCCGCCCATGGCCATTCCCAGCCTCCATGACCGCATGATCTACCTGGCCATCTCCGACTACCTCTTCAACACGGCTGCACTGGTGTACCAACAGGCTGGAGCCTTCGGCCTGACCCTGAGGGACGACATGGTGAGGCTTGGCTGGGGGCGGATGCAGGCGGAGCCCTGGACTCTGAGTCCTGCAGCCCCTCGCAATCGGGAGCTCTGTTTACACTGGGGGAGATGAAGGTCAGGACACAGAGCCTGCCACACCTGACTTTGAACTTGTCCCCACCCCTTTGCAACTGGGTGTCCTGAGGTTGGTCACTCAGCCTCTCAGAAGCTCAGTGTCCTTGTCAGTAGCAATAACGGTGTCTTCCCCCAGAGAGTGTCGAGAGGGTTCAGCGAGATACTCTTGTTGTTATGTTATTATATTGTATTATTGCTACACATGCAGAGGGGACTGGGTTCCCACTGAAAGGCACTGAGCTCACAGAGGCAAGCACCTGCCCCATCCCAGATCCTCATCCAGTCTGCACATCACGTCACCTTTATCATCATCATCATCCTCCTCTTCGTCCCTATCATACATTCACGGCCGAGTCTCACTCTGGGCCTCAGTTTTTCCATCTGTAATATGTGGACATGACCATCATCTTCAGAGTCAAGGAACAGTGTGGTTCCAATCTGGTCACCAGGCCTGCACAGCTCGAGGAAGAGATGTCAGATTGTCAGATTCCCCATCGCTGTGCAGGAACCAACAGGACGCTGCCTGCCCGTGTGCCCCTGGGGGCAAAGGCCCCCCAAGAGGGACAGCACGGAGGCTGTTTATCCAGAGCTGGGGAGTCGGCTGCCATCACTTGCGTTTGGCAAAACGCAAAGGCAGAAGGGGTGGGGGTGGGGAAGCGTCTTAGCAGGAGAGGAGCAGGTGCCGGGGAGCAGGGCGCCCGTGGGGTTGGTCTGCGGGCAGATTGGGCTTTCTCGGGGCAAAGAATGAAACCAAAGCCAACAGCCACCGAGCAGGGCACGGATCCAGGCCGGTCCTTTGGGCCAGGCTCCGCCGAGGCTGCGGCCAGCCTTCTGCTGTCACCCGTGCTGGGGCCAGTGTCCTCCTGCGTCTGCGGCTCTCAGCCCCGGGCAGGATTCGCCCCCAGCTCCCGGCCTTTAATAAGCTCCTCCCAGGCTGTTCTCTTCTCTCCCTACAGATCCCCAAGGAGTCCAAATCCAGACTGACAACCAAGTTCCTCGGGAAAGCCCTACCCCAGGTGAGCGAGGGCTTGCTCTCTCGCCTTCAGCCGCGAGGCAGCCTGGGCTCGGCGGGGACTGGGGTCCACGGCGTGGACAAGGAGACCCTCTCCCCTCTAGAGGCAGAGGCCACCCAGCAGGGAGAGTGGCGCTGGTCTCACGCTGCCCATGGCGGTACAAAGATCGGGCTCCGGGCTCCAGGCAGCGCACAGCCCACGTGCACGAGGCGAAATGCGAGGGCCCGTGACCTTGAGCTGTTTCTCAGGTGCCCCGCGTGGGCCTGGGCCCTGCGCCGGGAAGCCAGCTGAACAGCCCACCCCCTGCCTTCCTGGAGCTCCCAGCCCAGTGGAGAGAGAAGAAAGTCATTCAGATCCACAGAACAGTGGCAAGCACGGTGTCCACGAAAGTTGATGATGAGGTCGCTCTAGACGAAGTGGCCACAGCAAATGCCCCGGAACAGGGAACCTAAACACCAGGACTCTATCCTCCCAGTGGTGGGCCCTCGAAGTCCTAGGTCATGGTGCTGGCAGACTCAGTCTCTGGGGACGGACCCCTCCTGGATGGTGGGTGGCCCCTGCTCGTGGTGTCCTCCTGTGCACTTCCTCTGTGTGTGCCTGGGGGTGGAGGGGACAGAGACAGATGGACAGACAGACAGAGAAAGCACACGCCCTGGAATCCCTTCCTACAAGGCTGGTCAGGGCCCCACCGTATCACCTCAGCCAACTCAGTTACATCCTCAGAAGCGCCATCTCCAAACACAGCCACTCTGGGGTGAGGGCTTCACCACGTGACCTGGGGGAGGCGGCACTCCACAGCCTCTCGGCGGGGAGCACCTGCAGCCACTGCAGCGCTTTCTCTACAGGGAAGGCCTGGCTGGGGGCAGTCGTGGCTGGCAGGGACCCCCGGCTGTCGTAAAGCTGTGTTTGTCCGACAGTCACATCAGCTTTCCCCAGGGCTGTGGGCTTCCCTGGGCAGGACTGGAGGCCAGCAGAGAGGAGGGGTCACCGAGAGCTTCCCTAGTTTCCCAGCAAAGCCACCACGTCTCTCTGAGGAGGTGACATTTGCGCCAAGACCCACAGGAAGGGAAAGAACCAACCTAGGGAGGACTGGGTGGACAAGCATTCAACGGCAGGGAACAGAGGGTGCAAAGAGACCAAGAGAGTGCACCCTATCTGAGGACCAGAAACCATTGCCTGTGGCCCGAGAGGGAGGACACTGTGAGAAGGGGCTGTCTGCCAGCCAGGAAGACACTGAGGCTGCTGGCATCTAACTGTGGACTTGCAGTTCCCAGAGCTGGAGGCGCCACGCCTTGCAGTCAGCTGCATGGATTCCGGGGCAATGGGAGGCACTGGCTGTTTATGGAAAGGGAGGACAGCAGAGAACTCAGCAGCGTGTTGGTTGTCCCCTCCGCGGGCTGCAGGTGGCCAAGATGTTCCCCAACATGAATGTGCAGCTCACGCTGTCCGTCTCCTCCCCGCCACACCTGACCACGCGCCCCACCGGCATTGCCCTCACCGCCGCCGTGGACCTGCAGGCCTTTGCCATCCTCCCCAACTCCTCCCTGGCTTCTCTCTTCCTGCTTGGCCTGGTAAGCGGCTCCCAGGGGTGGGCAGAGGGGAGCCCTGGACAGTGCCATGAACACTGCCCTCGGAGTCGGGCGGGGAGGTGGCTGGGTGTGAATCCTGCCCGGATGGAAGCCTGGACCCCAGACCCGCAGGCCAGAGCCGCTGTACTCACCTGCTCTGGCTCCCACAGGCATCACTCACCCAGCAGTCACTGAATCTTTATTTATGTATTCATTCAATTATTCACTGGCTGAATTCTTCACTCATTCAATTATTCATCCCTTCGCTGGGTTGAAACTTGGGTGTGTTTCCCATTCGTTCATGCATATCTGTGGTCACTCAATTGGGCATTCATCCATTCATCCATTCGTCCATTCATCCATTCATCCATTTGCTTATTCATTCACTCAATTATTTCTTAGATTGTTGACTTGAAATCTGCTATACTGTTTGCAGGCTCCTCCACTTACTCATAGCTTTGCTCAACCGATCATTCATCTGTAGGTTTCTTCTTTCATTCATTCATTTACCATCCATCATTCATTCAAGCGTGCAAACCTTTGTTCATTCCTTCACTTGTGAATTTGTTCCGTTGAATCATGCATTCATCTCTGGTTGTCCCATTGCTCCAGGAACATTTTTTTAAAGATTTATTTTACTTATTTGGAAGAGTTACAGAGAGAGGTAGAGACAGAGAGAGAGGTCTTCCATCCACTGGTTCACTCCTCAGGTGGCCACAATGGCTGGAGCTGTGCCCATCCAAAGCCAGGAGCTTCTTCCCGGTCTCCCACACGGGTGAAGGGGCCCAAGGACTTGGGCCATCTTCTACTGCTTTCTCAGACCATAGCAGAGAGCTGGATCAGAAGAGGAGCAGCCAGGACTCGAACCAGTGCCCATATGGGATGCTGGCGCGTCAGGCCAGGGCTTTAACCCGCTGCGCCACAGCGCCAGCCCCTCCTCCACAAACATTTGATGTCGCCTCCTCTGGCCTCTGGGGATGTGGCCCAGCCCATCAGGGGCCACATAGAGACCTCTGTCCAGCTGACACCACTGATCCCCCTTTGCGGATAAAGTGGGTTTGGAGGAGATAGCCCAAGGTTCTCAGGCTGCAGGGGGCTGGGGCTGGAAGCTCGCTCTCCTACCTCAGTGAACTTTTTGGGATGAATCGATGCATCGGCAGTTGTGAGACCAGGATGGTCTGCCTCAGCCAGCCCCCTAGGAGTGGACAGGGAGCCACGGGGCTGCCCCAGGGCCAGGGGGAGCACGTGGGGACTGGCTCTGAGCCCCGGATAGCTTAACGAGCGCCTCCTCCTGCAGAAACTGAACACCTCGGCGAAGATTGGCACCAAGGCGGACAAGCTGGTTGGAGAACTCACGCTGGGCAGGTAAGTGGCCTGTGGGGACTGGGCAATGGGGCTGCCCATTTCTTCTTGATGTCTGTGGGGCAGCGAGGCCCTTACCGCTTTTGTGTTCAGCATCACATTTCGGCCTCAAGCAGGTCATGACGGACACAGAATCGCCATTTCACAGAGAGTGAAACTGATGCTCAAAGATGACGAAGGTCATACCCTGTAGGGGGACCCAGCATCTGTTTGCCTAGGAGTGTCTCCCTTCTAACGCCGAAAGTCCTCCACCCCGGGACACCTGCCAGCCCCAGGCTGACTCGTGGCCGGGCGGTGCCTCCCTTGCTGAACCGCAGCAGCATCTGGCTGCCCTCGGCGCTCGGGAAATCCCACTTCACCTTCCCACCTGCCCTTGGACTCCAACAGCCACGCCTGCGGAAGCGGCGGCAGTGGCGAGCAGGGGCTGCCTGGCCTGGAGGCACAGCGCCCCCTGCCGAGCGCGGGACCTCCCGGCTGCAAACCCGGCCCCATGTGTCTTCTTTGCCAACAGTACCATCGTGAGGATAAAGTGAAGTATTAGCTAACGTGTGCTGGCGTGTTTGGAACACTTCCAGGGCTGTAATCACCACTCAGTACACAAGAAGGGAAGAGAAAGCAAAGCACGGGAAAGAGAAATGCAGGGGGCGACACAGAGAAAGACAAAGGCACGTGAGAGGGAGGAGACAGAGAGAAGGGGAGAGCAAGAGAGACGGAGGGAGACAGAGAGCAGAGGAAGTGGACAGACAGCGAGAAGAGGCCTCTCCCAGGGAGTGGGCGTAGGACCCCCGCCTGCCCACCTGGCGTCCGGCTGTCCACCATGGTCACGCTGGGTGAGCTGAGTCCTGACCCAGGTTCCTGCCCGTCGCTGCCTCCCCGGCTCAGAGCCGTCTTTCCTGACCTGGAGCCCAGCCCTGACCTCTCCCGGCACCGCTCTGACAAGCCATGGGTGTGCTTTTCCTGAGCCACCTGTGAGCCTCTCAAGCCGTGGAGCCGGACAGGGGCCAGCAGGGGGCTGGCTGAGCGCAGACTTCCTGCACTTGCATGGGGACAGCGGCTGGGCTACAAGAACCCCCGCAGAGGGGCTCCTGGGCCTTCTGACTTCCGATGAACAAGAGAGAGCTTTCCAGAGTGCTGGGGCGGCGGGCTTGGACCTCAGCAGACCTGTTTGAAGTCATCCTGACTGTGTGACCGTGGGCAGGTTGATTGATCTCTCTGAGTATCAGTTTCCTCATCTGTGAAATGGGAATGTGGTGGCCCTTGCCTTGTCCGATGTTGGGAAAGAGAGCGGACCCAGGTGCTCAAGCAGTGACCTCAGGCCCGTGACCCCTCCGTCCCTGTGAGGGCTCCACGCCCGCCAAGCTGTCAGCAAGCAGCGACAAAGCCACCAGCAGCAGCACCCACTTTCCTGGAGAAAGGAGAGCAGCTCGCTCCCAGCATTTCTAGCGGAAACCTTGGGACTCCAGTGGGGCCAGCGGGGGGTCCCAGGTCCACCCTTGTGGCCAGCACCACCCAGAGCTCAGTGTGTGGTTGGCAGCACTAGCCATGCAGCGACTACGTGACCACGCCCTCTACAGGAGAAACCGGGGTGTGGCCTGGCGTGGGGGGAGCAGATCCCGAGTGGGACGCCCGCGGAGCTGCGGGGTTTCCAGGCCATCGGTTGTGTCAGCGTCCCCTCTCTCTTCCCAGGCTGATCCTGGAGCTGAAGCACTCCAACATTGGCTCCTTCCCGGTGAGTCTGGCTCCTCCCCGTCCTCACCCAGGGGCACTGGTCAGCAGGTGCCTGGGTTCAGTGGCATAGAATTAGTGTAGGAATTAATGGAGCCAGGAGCTTTGCGGACAGAGACCTGTGCTGGAATTTCTGCTCTCTGCCTACTGGCTGGGGGGCCCTGGGCGAGCCCCTTTCCTTCTCTGGACCTCAGGCGGCCCCTGCCTGAGTAGGCGTGGTAAGGTCCCAGTGAGAATAAGGGTACACAGCGTGGTACAGAAGGGCCTCTCAGCCAAGGCTTGTTGAGTGAACAAATGAATTATGGTATGAGCATGTGTTGGGGGCTGGATCCTGCTGCAGTGTGCTGGCCACCAAGCCAGGGAAGAGATGCCCCTTGGAGCCTCACACCAGAGTGGGGAGACACGGGAGCAGAAAGAGGGCCTTGGTCGTGGTCACAGCAGTGGGCAGCACAGGCAGAAATGATAGTTAGAGGATGTGATCAGGGAAGGCTTCTCGGAGGAGGTGATATTTGGGCTGACGATGAGATGGCAGAGTCAAAGGCCTGTGTTGGGACCAAGCTTGGCCGTGTGTTCCATGGTGAGACGTCCCTACAGGGAGTGCTGGGACCTGATTTGCGCCTCTGTAAGAGCTCCCTGGGGCTGGGGCAGGGCGGGGATGGATCACAGAGCTCAGAGCCAGGGGACCAGGGAGGAGGCTGATGGAGGCAGGGACTCAGCCAGGAAGAAGGGGGGATGGTGGACTGGAGATGTGTGTGGAAGTAGAGAGGAACAGAACTGGCTGCAAGATTGGCTACGTGTGATGACGACAGGACCGCCAGATGACTTGGCGTCCAGACTGGGCAGTAGGTGGTGGGGGAGGGGCGGCAGGTGTCCCCACCCGCCTGCCCCCCTCCCCGCCAGCCCAAGGAGAGGACTCCACGCCCCAGGAGTCCTCAGCTGTCAGCAGGATGTCAGTGAGTGGCCTGTCACTCCAGGCCACTGAGCAGGTGGCAGGGGAAGGAGCTGTTCAGATGTCATCACAGCTCTGTGTCCCACAGCAGAAGGCGGGTTCTGACTCACGTGGCCTGGCTCTCCCAGGGGCCCTCTGGGAGGACACGTGCTTCGGTCCCTGGGCTGCCCCCAAGTTCTCTGCCCAGCGCCTCGAGAGCCAGCCAGCCCAGATATCAGCCTGTCCCCACCCCCTCCAAATCTGGTAACCACGCGGCACTTCCCCGGCCGGGATCACAGCCACCTGGAGGGCGCAAAGCAGCCTCAGTACATTTTCACGGCTTTGCTGGGCCCCGGCTGCCCCTGCAGCGGGCGGGGTGGATAACTAACTTCCACTTCTGCAGCAAAGAGACCTTCTCAGCTCCCAGGATCCACGGGAAGGGAGGCACCGTATGTGGTGAGCTCAGGGAACTGTAGCCTGGGGAAGGAAGGACAACTGTTGCAGAAGCAAACATACATATTTACAGATTGTAAATGTCGCCCTGCACGCACCTGTCTTGAGGGGTCTACGCGATTTTTGAATTCTTTATTATCGCCCAAGCAAAGCCATGTACACTATAGAGCGCACAGGTTCGCCAAACTCAAGCTATTCGTATTTTCACGGCTCAGTTCATCATCGGTAGTATTTCCTCCCTGACCTTTTGCTCTGCCTGTGTAATTAAGAAATAGACCCCTGTGGCCACTGGCGCCTGCTTTGCTCACTCAGAAATGAACGGCGAATGCCTGGGTGTTGGTGACCTCTCAGCAGCTTTGGAGAGCTTGCTGGTACCAAAGCTTCACCCCGCCCCCGGGCCCGGTGCCTGCCCTGCCGGTGGGCGTGTTGGTTACTCCCAGGTGATCGCTTTGCGTGCGTTTAGTGCTGTGGGGAGCGTCCTGGCATCTGCAAGTCTGCCCTCCCACTATGTCATTTCCTTAGCGAGTTCCCCCGGCGGTGCATTGGTTGGCCCAGAGACGCACGCATGGCGGAGGCTTCCCGTGAGCCTTGCCTGACAGCCCTCAGAAAGGTCCCCCAGCCTGGGTGTCAGAAAGGGCGCATTTTTTAAAAATTAAGGTTTCTATGAGTCTTTAAAAAAATGTATCTGTTTGAAAGGCAGAGCGATGGGGTTAGCGGAGCGACAGAGAGATAACCCGCCCAAGGGCTCACTCCCCAAGTGGCTGCAGCAGCCAGGTCTGGGCCAGGCCAGACCTCCATCCGGCTCCATCCATGGAGCCTCCAGAGCTCCATCCGGCTCTTGCACACGGATGGCAGCATCCCAGGGACTCGGACCATCCTCCGTTGCCTTCCCTGGTGCACTAGCAGGAAGCTGGGTGGGAAGCGGAGCAGCCGGGACTCCAGCCCGCCCTCCGGGATGGCATACTGTTGTTGCAAGTGGCGGCTTATCCCACTGCAACAGCCCCGGCTTTCCTGTTTGCGTGTTTGGCCTAGCAGTTAAGACACCAGTTCAGACACATCCCAGAGGGCCTGGGTTCAAGTCCCAATTTCCCGCTATGCACACCCTGGGAGGCGGCAGCGTTGGCTCACACGGTTGGGTCCCTGCCACTGCTGTGGGAGACCCGGATGGAGTTCCTGGCTCCTGGCTGCAGCCTGGCCCAGCCCCAGCTGTTACAGGCACATGGGGAGTGAACCAGCAGGCAGATCTGTCTCCGGCTATCCCTCTCTCTCTCCCTCTCTCTGACTCTCAATACTAAATACTCTCTGTTGGCGTGGGCTGAGGTCTTGCCCTGCACAACGTAAGCCATGCTTTACGGCTGAACCTGAGAGCAACAGAGCTCACTCTGTGACCTTGGTGGCATCTGTGCCCCTCTCGCAGCCGTGTCCCTGGCTGTGCGGCTGCTGGGCGGCCTGGGGGAGGGAGGGAGGGGGCGGGGACGGCCGGCACCACTGGGCCCTCACCTCGTGGCTCCCCCTCGCCCTCTGGCCCCAGGTTGAACTGCTGCAGGCCCTCATGGACTACGTCCTGTCCGCTGTCGTGCTCCCCAAGGTGAATGGTAAGGGGCTCGGGAGAAGAGGGCGGGGGTGACAGTCTGGGGGCGCCTGACACCTGGGCTCACATGAGCTGATTCCCACCAGGGCCCAGCCCTTGGTTCACGAGCCTATGGGACGGGGGCATAAGACTCTCCCCACAAATGGTCCTGTAGGATCCAATCTGCCCACCAACCCTGAGCCACGTGGCTTGGTAATGACCCGGGAGCCCCGGTTCCGTCTGGCACGTCCCATAGTTCCCTCTCCGTGCGCGGCGGTTTGGGCCCAGCCGCCGGCCATCTCTGGCTTCAGCCTGGCACTGAGGCGCTCCAGGAATATCTGCAGCGACGGCCCCAATGGCACGTCCACGTTCCGGCCGCAGCGCTGCCTACAGCTGTGTTTGGCCAACACTCGGGTATGGCGGGAGCTGGCTGGGCCGGGCCCTCCGGAGGGCAGCCGTGGGGAAGAGGCCGTGCCTGTCCTGGAGGTGGGCCAGGGGCTGATGGGAGACAGGCAGAGCAGGGCGCAGCTTCCTGGCAGGCATGTGCCCCCTGCCGGCCCCTACCTGGGGGTGGGCCCTCCGCTTCACAGGGGCTCTCTCACCCCCGCCCTGCACTGCCTCCTGTCCCGTCCTCACCGTCACTCTGCCCTGCAGAAAAACTGCAGCGAGGGCTCCCTCTGCCGATGCCCCGGAAGGTGCAGCTCTATGACCTGGTGCTGCAGCCACACCAGGTGAGTCCCCGGGCCTCTGCACCAGCTTCCCCAGGCCGAGGCGTGGAGCCAGCGTGTCCCCCCTGCCCTGACATCCACCCTGGCACGCGAGGGCGGCCACTAAACACAGACAAGGGAGTCGGGCTCAGAAAAGCCACGCAGTATCACAGAAGCCCAGGTTCAAAGCCAAGCTTCCAGCTTGGAACCAACTGCACTGCTTCCCGGCTAGGCTAAAACAGAACCCCCCGAGTGGCCTTTATCAGGGGGCTCCACTGAACTTCCCAGCAGCCCCATGTCGCGTGCCTGCTAGGCCTGCAGCGTCCTGCCAGGCACCCGGACGTGGCCAGCGTCTGGCGGACGGTGACGCTGACCCGAAGGCCATGCAGCCCGACTGCATCACCAGTGGCCACCGCGCTTCCCCTGGCCTAGTTTCCCCTGTCTCTAGTTTGCGAGGCTCCCGGTGCTCGAGGGCCCCATGCCCCTGGGCTGCTGCAGCCCCTGTGCTTGCTCTCCCGCTCCCCAGGCCCCTTCTGTCCCCCACGGCTGGCTTTCCCAGTCACCGTCATCAGCTCCCTCGGACTCAGCTGCCACCTCCGTGCCACCCACTGTCCCGGCCACTCCCCCAGCTTCTGCTTTTTTTCTGAACTCTGGCCCTGTGCTTTGCCAGCTGCCTTGGCATCTCCACCCTAAGGGCCCTTAAGCCCATTGTGTGCCGACCAAGTGGTCATCTCTGCCCCAAAGCCACCGCTCTGGGTCGCGTGCCTCACCTTACTCGGCAGCCTGGAAACCCCGGCGTCACCCGGGTTCCAGCCTCCCGCTTACCCACAGCTGTCACTCACTCAATCCCCAGTGCTTCAGACCCGGGAGCCAGAGAGGCTTAGAGACTAGAACAGCAGTAGAGAACCACCCCCCCACCTTTCACCAAGTTTATCCTCTACAAAACAAGGGCCCCAGGGCATGGCTCAGTTGGGGAAGGGGGGATGCCGCAGAGAGAAGTGGTTTTGCAGCCTGGATGGGAGCCAGGTTCCCTGAACTGCCATTGGCTCCAGGTCTCCACGTCACTGAAGGAAACAGCTAGGGCAGAGGTGGGGGGGGGGGTAGCTGCTGGAGGATCGCGGGCCCCAGGGGGTGCCTCCTGCTGGCTTTCCCCGGGCAGAAACCCTGCTCCGCGACAGCCCCCCCACACACACACACTCATAAGCAGGGCGCCATCCCCGTCTCTCCCCAGGATTTCCTGCTGCTCGGTGCCAACGTCCAGCATGGCTGACGTCGCTCCCCAGGCAAGGCGGTGTCTACACCTGCTCCTGGGGGGTCATGGGGCACAGGCCATGCTTCGCCAGGGAATCCTCTCTAGGTCTCGGCCACGAGCCCCAGCCAGTGTTTCTGAACTCCGATTCCAAAATGACCCAACACAGGAGCCACGCTCACTGGAAAAGTGCACCTCGGGGGTGATGAGCTCCTTTCAAAGCTCCAGGAGTTGCATTTCAATTGTGACCACTCTGTGCTTCACAAAAAAAAAAAAAAAAAAAAAAAAAACCTCTGTGTTTTTTTTTTTTTCCTGCAGATTCTTGTGCTGGAATCATTTCTTGCGTCCACTCATTTGTTCATTCATTGACTGGGACCAGTGTGGGTCCCACTACAGTCTACAGCTCAGGCACAGTCACCTGTTTCTATTTCAGGAATTAAGCTCTAAGTCCCCACTTGCCTACATTAGCGGGTCGTCTTGTTGCCCCCAGTGTCTTTGGGGCTCTCCTAGTCCAAAGGGAATGAATCTTGCCTCCTACAGTCAGGCATCCGGGCTGTTGTTTCTGATACTGCCACATGGAGGTGCTGTTGGAAGGTGACTCTGCCCAGCCCCTTGTCTTCCTGTGTATCTATCCATGGATCCATTGTAACTGTGGCTCCTGGGACCACCACGCAGTGTCGCTGTTGCATGGTGACCGTGCACAGCCTGTTCATGGCGATTGTATTAGTCTGTTACTATAACGAAATGCCTGGCCCAAGCTACTTTATAAAGAAAAGAGATTTACTCTGGTCCAGGGCTCTGGATGTGGGGAATCTTGGGGCCTCCTGTGGCAGTGGCCCTCCTGCTGGCTGAGTCCGGAGCTGGTGCAGAGCCTCACATGGCAGGACTGGTCTCTCCCTCTTCCTGTGAAGCCATGAGGACTCAGCCATGGGAGCCCCAACCTCATGACCTCCTCTCGTCCTAGTCACCTCCTTGAGCCCACTCCTATCCACCATCAGGTTAAGTGTCTGCTCCCTCTGCCCTACAGAGCCAGTAAAATTCCAGCCCCTGAAGCCTTGTCGGACACTCACACCTTAGCAGCCATGGCTTCCTTAATCCCTGCTCTGTGCCCGAGACAGAGCACTGGGGACAGAGGCCATGGGGGTTTGCAGCTTCAGCCACGTGCTTGGTGTGATTGGAGTTTCCCCGGGACTCCGCAGGCCGGGCGCCCAGCCCAGCCTGCCCCTGGGCTGGTGGGGGTATCCCTGGAGGTTGCGGGCCATGTCCTGCCATGGGACATCGGGAGGGGCTTTCGGGGGCCGTTGCATGGACACCAGATTGAGTGAGCAGTCCCAGTAGCCTCTCTTGAGTCCAGGATGAGCCACGACACACCCAGGGGTTGGGAGCAGGCAGTGGAGGAGGTGGTGACATCACCAGATTTAGCTTAAAAAAAAAAAAAAAACAACTGTGACTTCTGAAAGCTTCAGAAGGGCAAGAGTGGAAAGGAGTGGGCACAAATTAGGCCCCTGCTGTTTTCAGACTTAAGCACGTTGTTGACAGTAAAAATGGAGAGGAGCAATTGCACTGAGCAAAAGCAGATAAAAGGGGCTTTGGAAAGAAACACACGCGCACTTCCTGCTGTCATTGTTGCTTCTCTGTTAGGAGGCTGAGGCTCTGGGCCGCGTGGGCAGGAGTGCAGCCCAGGACTGCTGGAGTTTTCCGTTTGGATCACACAGCTGGCAAGGGGCCACGATGCGAGCCCCACCCTTTCTGCCTTCAGGGCCCACACTCCTCCCGGATGCCCAGTCTTGTCTGTGAGGGGATCTGGCGTGTTTCGGGCAGGACTGCTGTGTTCCGTGGCATGGGTTGTGCACTGTAAAAAGGCACCCATCCTAAGAAACAAAAATCTGTCTCAGGGCCAGTGCTGTGGCATAGTGGGTAAAGCTGCCGCCTGCGGTGCCAGAATCCCACCCATATGGGCGCCAGTTTGAGTCCCGGCTGCTCTACTTCTGATCCAGCTCTCTGCTATGGCCTGGGAAAGCAGCAGAAAATGGCCCAAGTCCTTGGGCCCCTGCACCCACGTAGGAGACCTAGAGGAAGCTCCTGGCTCCTGGCTTCTGTTGGTGCAGCTCTAACTAGTGCAGCCATCTGGGGAGTGAACCAGCTGATGGAAGACCTCTCTCTCTCTCTCCCTCTGCCTCTGCCTCTGCCTCTCTGTGACTCTGCCTTTCAAATAGATAAATAGATCTTTTAAAAAAAAAATCTGTCTCAACCTTGCCCACCAAGAGAGTGCACCTTTTTCTGTGTGTCGAAGGCTAGCGGGGGCCCTGGGCAGGAAGAGGAGAGCAGCCAGCGAGGCTGGAGGGAAGAGCTTCAAAAGCTCAGGGGATGCTGGGAGGCCACACAGACCGGGGAGAGGGACACAGACTCATCCACACTGCGCAGGGCCCCCGGGCTGCTGCTGGGAGAACAGCAGGTGCGTGTCCGGACATCCGTGCCCTCGCCCCCCACTTCCTCTCTCCTCTTCCAAAATCCAGCCATGCCCTCTCCTCTCCAAAACCCATAGGCAGCTCCTGCCCACTCCATGGGAAACATGGCGATTAATTATTTCCTGGACCTACAGCCTGGCGAGTGGAGCGCGCGGTGACGGGCAGTCTCTGGCGGCTGAGGAAAGGCAGGGTTGGGGGCTGGAGGCACATTTCCCAGCATGCTCCGAGTGATCTGCCCACTGCTGCCCAGCTGCGGTGGGAGCAGCTTCTGCCTTCGGGCTCCTGCCCACTCCTGTGAGTGCCAGCATGCTCCGGCTTCTTCCGGGTGTTGGAGATATTCTGAAATTAGATGGCAGTGAGGGCTGTACAGCCCTGTGAGCGAGACACCTGCCGTGGTGAGTGTCACGGTGTGTGCAGCAGGTGTCCATAAAGTTATAAAAAAAAAGAAAAAAATGTACTTGGGGCTGCCTAGAAGCTCTCACCATTTGAGCAGAGAGACAGAGAGAGGAAGAGACAGGGAAGAGAGAGAGAAAGATTTTCCGGCTGCTGGTTCACTCCCCAAATGGCTGAAATAGCTGGGGCCGGGCCAGGCCAAAGCCAGGAGCCCGGCACTCAATTCAGGTTTCCCACGTGGTTGTCGGGGACCCGAGTATTTGAGCCATCACCTGCTGTCTCCCCGCGTGTACATTAGCAGGAAGCTAAAGCAGAAGCAGCAGCTGCAACAGGGCTGGGACCTGAGCCAGGCGCTCGGATGTGGAATGCAGGCATTCCAAAGGATTCTTAACCATCGCTCCAAATGCTCACCCCTGGTGGCCCATGAAATATGGAATGGGCAGGGAGGGGCAGTGGGTCACAGGGAGACTAACCACAGGTGCGGGCATCATTCTGCCACATCCTATTAGTGGCCCCGAGTGGCCTTGCCCTTGGCCAGTGGCTTCAAGCTGTTTATCCCTTTGAGTCAGATCCATTGAACACGCTGCAAGGGAGCAGTGGGCAGGTTGGGGGGGGGGGTGCTGCGGCCACACGGGCTGTAATGCATCCAAAGGACGTCCCCACCACAGCCACCACCTTGTAGTCAGGGTGAGCTGGTTTTCTTGTGGTCCAGAGGGTTCTGGGCAGAGCTGGGGACTCTCCCGCCCACCAGGGGCCCTAGGCAATCCTCACAGTTCTCTCCCTCTCTAGGTCTCCGTTTCCCATCTGTAAAAGCAAGGGCTCTCGGGAATTCTGAAGGGAATTCAGTAAAGTGGCTTCTGGCAAATCGGGCCAAGTCCCTTCTCCCTGAGGGATTTCTATTTTTCATAGAAGGTCCTTGGGGTCCCCAAAGCCATCAAGACCCGAGGCCACTGCTGGGCTTGTGGGTGCCACCAGTGGCTGAGGCAAACAGGAGGCTGCAGAGAAATGGGAGCGTCCCCCCGGGGTGAGGGCCGGGTGTGCCCAAGGCCAGCCCCTGCCCCATGTCATCTTCAAGCCCTTCCTGCTCGCCACTGGCATTGCTGGTTTTGTGGTGGATCTGCGCATCCCCGGGCTCCGGTGCCGCGTGTGGGGGCTGGGAGAGGAGGCTGCCAGTGATCTCAAACCCCGGCCCCAGAGCGCCTGCCCACATCCAGAGCCTCCAAGCCTCAACAGGAGCCTGTGTCCATGCAGTGCGCACGTCATCCTAGGAACTCGCGCTGAACCTGAGCCTGAACGGCGTTCTACGGAGCGGGGCGGGAACTGGCGGCCGGGTAGGTTCTTGTTCCGGAAGCCCCATCCATGCATGTCCCAAGGGAGCTTGTTAGAAATGCAGGGTCAAGGTCTCGGCCCCCAGAGGAACAGCTGAGTCAGAGTCTGCTTTGAAACAAGACTCCTGCTCTCATCTGCTCCCTGGGGAGTGAGGAACAGAGGGGGCGGAGCCTGCCCAGACCCCGTGGCCCTGGCTCGGGTTCGTCTCCTGCTCAGGCTCCTTCACCTTCAGGGGCTCTGAGTTTCTGCTTACCTGGCTCCCTTTTTCCGGGCCACCCTCCACATGACCTTCACATGACCTTCACGAGCCAGCAGGACGTCCCCTCCCCTGGGAAGGCCTCCTCAGTGGCGGAGGGTGGGCCCTGCTGTGCCGCACCACACCCGGTGCGCCCCTGCTGCTGACACTGGTTCGTGGCTTCCGACCACACATGGGATCCTTCCCTAGCCTCCTCCCACTCCCTCTCCTCTGAGGCGACCCGCTCCTGACAGGTATCTCTGCTTGTGGGGCGGCCCGCGCTCACGCGTGTGTGTGCGCTCACTCTCTTAAATAAATCCTGTTCGACTTGGTGCGCCTTGCTTACGCCCCTGCTTTGAATTCTGATCTCTGCGGAGCCAAGTTCTTGGAAAAAGAGTTGAGACACTTTTTCCCATAACAGGCACTCGATGAACTCTGCCCTGGTTAAGGGAGAGAGAGTGTTCGTGGTGGGGGGGCGGGGCCAGGGGTCACGGCAGCCAGGACATGCATGGGTGGGCAGTCCCCAGAAGAAAGGCCAGGAGGTCTGCATGAGGCTCACACCACTCGGAGGCCTCCACTGGGGCCCAGGGTCACCACCAGGGAGGGGAGCCAGGCAGGCACCTGTGGGGGTGGGGGCCTGGCCTGGGGCCACCGGATATCCACGCTGGCCACTGGCTCTGAGGGCCAAGGACATTGCCATGGGAAATCCCCAGCCCTGCCTACAGCCCCCAGTCGGGGACATCCTCAATCCACTGCCAGAGAAGGAGTGATGTCCCTGTCCCCGTGAGGAGGCACTGTCCAGACTGGTCTCCTCCCTCCCCAAGCTGGAAGGGCCTGTGGGAGTCACCCGCTCTGCCCCATCATTTTACACAAGGGAACTGAGGCCCAAGGAGGAGAAAAGGTCCTGGGGTCCAGCAGGGGCTGGGCCAGATGGGAGCGCTGGACTCCCGCCTAGGGCCCCTCCCTCCCTGGGCAGGCACCCTGGGGACACAGCTGTGAGAACGTCCCCTCCGAGAACCCTCCCCCTGTTAGGTCTGAAACTGTTTTCCAAGGTTGGCTCCTTTGTTCACACCTCTGGGGTCTCTGCAGGTCGCCTCCCACAGCCCTGGGCTCCCATCCCAGCCGGGTGGCTGTGAGCGGTGTCACCTCCCCTTGTCAAGCGTCAGGAGGTGTGTGCAGCACCTGGCACACAGCAGGTGCCCCGTGAGCACCTTCCAGCTCCTGCTGGATGCCTGTGGATCACAGGACAAGGAGGGGCTCAGTCTTGTCCTCAAGAAGCAGCCAGGCTGGGGACAGAGGGGACAGACAAGGACCTCGACAAGCCGCAGCCCAGTGGCAGGAAGCACACAGCACACAGAAGAGTCGAGAGACCTGGCCTGGGCTTCCCTGCACACGCGTGGGAAGTTCCAATCTGAGCCCCAGTGCCTCTCGGCTCTCCCCCCAAGAAGTCCCTCTGTGACTCCCACCACATTCCCGTGGAGGCACCCAGTAGCAGGGAGGAGAATCACAATACCAGCCTGGGAAATACTGAAGGATTTGTGGGCATAAATGAAAAAGGCCACCGTTACCCAAGAGCAGAGAGCAAGAAACGCTCTGATGGAGAAAGCACAAGGGAGTCTGGGACCATCAGGGAAGCCTGGTAATGGTCAGAGAGGGCTTCCTGGAGGTGAGCACAGAATGAAGCTCACCCAGGGAGGAAGTGTTGGGGCAAAACTGTAAAGAGGAGCGGCGCTGGGCTTAGGGGGTAAAGCCACTGCCTGCAGTGCCGGCACCCCATATAGTCACCGGTGCGAGTCCCGGCTGTTCCACTTCCAACCCAGCTCTCTGCTATGGCCTGGGAAAACAGTAGAAGATCACCCAAGTCCTTGGGCCCCTGCACTCATGTGGGAAACCTGGAAGAAGCTCCTGGCTTCGGATCTGCCCAGCTCCAGCTGTTGCTGCAATTTGGAGAGTGAACCGGCAGATGGAAGACCTCTCTCTCTTCTGCCTCTCTGTAACTCTGCCTTTCAAATAAATAAACAAATCTTTAAAAAAAAAACAACTCTAAAGATTAAGCACAATCTCGACTACAAATTTGATTTTCCCAGATGTAATTTTACTTGTGAAGTAACAAGATATGCCTAAAGCACACCCTAAGAGAATGACACTGTAAATAGCAACAAGCAAAATAATTTTTCTTTAAAGTGCCCAGACTCCTATTCACCAGACAAGGGACCACACCTCGAAACTCCCTGCTAAATCCTTTCCAGTTTGGTAAACACAGAAACCCATCTTGGCAGCGGCGTTCTGTCTCAGTGGGGTTGGCTGTCAATCCCGGCTGCTCCGCTTCTGATCCAGCTCCCTGCTAATGCACCTGGGAAGGGGGCAAGTGATGACCCGAGGGCTGGGGCCTCTGCCACCCACGTGGGAGACCTGGATGGAGTTCCTGGCTCCTGGCATCAGCCTGGTCCAGTCCTAACTGTTGTGGCCATTTGGGGAGTGAACCAGTGGATGGAAGATTCTCTCTCTCTCTGTCTCTCTCTCTCTGTCTCTCTCTCTCAGGTTCTGCATCCTATTTTGAACAAAGACACAGAGCCACGCCTGGGGCCCCTCTGCTCATCAGGAAGTGCACCCCTTCCACAGCTTTGGGAGTCATGCTCAGAGCTCCCGCTGCTGCCCATTCCGCTTGGGGCAGCCGCGGGCAGCTTCCTGCCGGGACGTGCTGGCCTGCTGACCGCCACGGACAGAAGCAGAGCGGCTGGGTCGCAGGGCACGTGGCTGCTGAACAACCTCTATGCTGCCTTCCGGAAAACCAGCAAGCTTTGAGAGAGCCCGACGCCCCCTACGGGGAAACAGGTTTCCTTTTCAAATAAACAGAGTCCAGTATAAAGAGGAGAAGGGTCACACAGTGCCAGACCTGGCTCCTGTCCCAACTCTGCCATTGGCCGAGTGTGGGATCCTGGGAGCCACGTGGCCTCTCTGACCTCGGCGTCCTCTTCTCTCTCCCAGGCCTTCCAAGCCCAGCCCTTAAGAGCCTGGCTGAGAAGAGACAGCACCTCTGGTGGTGAGTGTGAGTGTCTTTTGGGGGAAAGGGGTGGGGCTTGCCCCTGCCCCCTGCAGCTGGCAACAGCCCTCTGACCCAGTTGCGGGGACAACCCAGGACTTCTAAGCATGACCTGTGACCCCAGTCATGTTGCAAGCAGCTTCCAGTCCCCGTGCCTCCTGTTCCCGCTCCCAGGAGCCCACCCACCCTCAGGAACCGCCCCCGACCCTCTGGCCTTAGCTATTTAAGGGTGCCAGGCTCAGCCCACAGTGTGACAGTCCCGGCCCACACCACGGGGAATCCAGGATGGGGACCTGGGCCAGGGCCCTGCTGGGGTCCACCCTGCTGAGCCTGCTGCTCGCAGCTGCCCCGGGAGCTCTGGGCACCAACCCCGGCCTCATCACCAGGATCACAGACAAAGGCCTGGAGTACGGTGAGAAGTCGCGGCTGAGGGCTCTGCAGGCCCAGGCCCAGGCTGCTCTGGGTCCAGCAGGGGGTGCTCTACACGGGCCTGAGGCAGGGGCTCTGTTCCGGCCCCGTCCCCACCAGCTGTGGGACTTGGACCCGTTGTTACCCAGATGAACATGAGCAGTCGGTCTGGGATATGATTGTAGCAAGCACTGCAGGGGAGGGGCCGTGAAGGGAGGGCAGCCCCTACAGGGTGGTGGCCGGCAACCACCCCATGGGACAGGATCAACCCACCGGAAGCTTCTTGGTGAAGTTTGAAAACCCACACTTTAAAATGAGCAGCCAGAACCCGGGACCTCCCAAGGCAGGCATATTTCAGAGGGGGCACAGGGGAGGCTGGGGGCCTGGAATGTACCACATCGTGAGCTCGGTGGTGGTCATGCGGCGTGGAGAACGTTTAGTATTTTTAAAGATTTATTTACCTAGTTTTTGGAAAGCAGAGTGACAGGAAAGAGAGATCTTCTATTTGCTGGTTCACTCACCAAAAGGCCTCACCAGCCAGGGCTGGGCCAGGCCAAAGCCAGGAGCCTGGAACTCCATCCAGGTCTCCCACATGGGTAGCAGGGACCCAAGTGCTTGAGCCACCACCTGCTGCCTCGCAGGCGCATGCACAGGGAGCTGGATAGGAGCGGAGCTGGGACCCCATCAGGCCTTCTGCTGTGGGGCGTGGGCCTCCCAAGTGGTGGCTTCATCACTGAACTACAAGGCCAGGACATTTTTTTTTTAAGATGCTAAGACAAAGCTTCAGAATTATCCTGTCCGAGGGGTTGGGGAGCTGGGGGATTGATATGGGGGCCTGAACTGGTTGGGGGCTGCTGGGGCATGGGTGCCAGTTCTCCAGCAGTACTGTCCTGCTGCAGTTCCCAGACAGCGAGTCCCAGACACAGACAGACAGACGTGGCCACCCACCGGAAGGACGCAGGCGCATAAGTGTCTTATCTGTCAAAGTGGGGGGAGGATAACATTCCCCTGAGGAGGGTTGTTGGGAGCCCAGACTGGCTAGGTGCAGAGAGAGAAACCAGGGAAAGCTTCCTGGAAGAAGTGGGTAAGAAAAGTGGGGAATTAACCAAGGACAAGGGGCAGCAGGGCAGGCAGAGGGGCCCTGGTGTGGGCGTCTGCAGGAAGGAGAACGCACGGGAAACAGGGGAAAGGGTGCCGCTGGCCGGCGGTACACATGCGGCCTGCTGGGGCAGACTCCAGGGACACACACACACACACACCATGGCAGTGGGACTAGCAAATTCTGTGTATCTGGAAACACTGAACCAGGAGTGTTTGTCCCTTAATCCTTTCCACTGTGAGGACACACCGTGTGGTGAAACCACTCCTCTAAAGTTGCACATTTTGGCCTTTTCCATATTGTTAATCAAATAAGCCCTGCTTTCCTATTCTAGGCGCTTGCTGGGCACCTACTCCGTGCCAAGCACCCAGCTGGGAGTGCAAGGGACCTCCCAGCGCCCTTTGTGCTGCCCATTCTCTGTTATCCCTGCGGCTGGAACGGCCGGGAAAGTGGAGCCTGGGGCTTTGCTCAAAGTCACCTGGAACCCCGAGCACCTGGAGTCCGGCCCAAACCCTGCCCGTTTCTTCTACAAGGGCCACATGTCACGGTGGACAGGAAAGAGGAGCCAGCAAGTGCCCAGCACTCCTTCCCTCAGGGAGTTGCTGGCACAGGCATTCCCTTTCCTCGCCTGTAAAATGGGCACACACGTAGAAACCCCCCAGCAAGTGCAGGGACACCCTTGCACATGTCTCGTGCTCCTTGGCACGCAGTGGGGGCTCAGGAACCTGCACCTAAGTAATGCTGATGCAGAAGTCAGCGTCTCTCCGCAGGGCAGGTGCGAGCCATCGAGGGTTTGAGCAGGGGAGGGAGGCGGACCATGCTGACTCAGCTTCTCTCTCCCCAGCGGCCAGGGAGGGGCTGCTGGCTCTGCAGAGAAAGCTCCTTGGAGTCACGCTGCCGGATTTCGATGGGGACTTCAGGATCAAACATTTGGGGCGTGCACAGTACAAGTTCTACAGGTGGGCCTCTGGGGAGGCCTGGGGGAAGGGCCCCGGAGAGGGAGCGTAAGAGCGCATGGAACTGGGTCAGGGACCCTGAGGCAGGGGGCAGTCAGCAGGAGAGTTGCTCAAGGATTTCAGAAGGGAATTCTGGGTTGGGGGGGGGGGATTGAGTTCCTCCAGCCGTTCGCACAGGGGTCTGTCTGACCTGGGCCTCAGTCTCCTCACCTGTGAGACGGAGATGATACTGCTTCCTCTTTCAGAGTGACAATCTGGCCTCTTAGAGTTCAGTCTAGAAGGGAGGATAGGCCTGAGGCTGTAAATAGAACAGCCAAGTGGTAGAGCTGAGCTTTGCACCTGGGGGATCAGGGCAGGCTTCCCAGAGGAGGCAGCGTTTGAGAGTCACAAGATGGGAACAGCTGATACTAACCAAAAGGCATGAGTGCTTCTTGCAGGCTTGGCCGGGCAGGGAGGGCAGCAGGCCCCGGGCCCATTATACCTTCCCTGCTCGCTGCCACCGCCTCCTCCCTCCCTCCCTCATCACCTCCCTCTTGTAGTCAACCCATTAGTCAACATCCATTGAGCACCTACTAAGCACCAGGCACATAGCGTGGCCCCTGAACACTCCTCTCCCACGATGGCCCTTTGTCTCTCCTTTCTGTGTCTCCTCTGAGCCTGGACGTGTGGAGGGGAGGGTGAGGCTCCGGGCCCTGCCAGGCGCTAATGTGACCGTGTGACTGGGACAGCTGCGTCCCTTCCTCAAGCTTCCATTCCCTCTCTGTGAAGAGGGGACAAGCACGCCACTGGGTGCTCTGGGAGGCACCACAATGCAAAGAATGTAAAGGGCTGCGCGAGGCCGCAGGAGCCAGGCTGGCACAGAGCAGGCGCCCGGGGAGAGGGTGGGAAGGCAGGCGAAGGCCCGAGCTGACCTCTCCCTCCCGTGTCTTGCCCTCCAGTCTGGAAATCCCCAGATTCGAGCTGCTCCGTGGCACCCTGAGGCCCCTCCCCGGCCAGGGCCTGAGTCTCGACATCTCCGACGCCTACATCCACGTGCGGGGCAGCTGGAAGGTGCGCAAGGCGTTCCTGTAAGTCGGCTCTGTTCTCAGGACCTTGACCTTGGCCTGAGGTGTCCCTGGCTCATCGGACAGACCGCGTGCGGGAGGCAGCCCGCGCCCAGGACAGACCATTCACCGCGTGCAGGATGCACTTTGCCCTGCGGCTTTTAGAGGCTTGGCAGCGTGGGTGCCGTGGCTTCCTCGGGCTGAGCCCTCATGCATACTCGGGCTGTTTCTTCCTCGCTCATCCTCGCCCACGAGCTTCCATGAGCGGCTCCCCACACTTGGGCTGGCAGAAGGAGCCACAGGATAAAGGCTCAGAAGTCAAATCCCGAGCAGAGTGTGCATGGGAACCGCGAGCTTAGGGGCCTCTGGCTGTGCTCCCCAGGGGCTGTGCCAGTGCCAGTGCCCGTGTCGGGGGTCCCATTTACCAATATCTTCACCAGCCCTCTGTCCTAAAACTTCAAAACTTCTATCAATCTGATAGGTGAGAAATGCTATCATTGTCATTTGTATTTTTAATAACTTTCCATGATTCTTATTTGCCATTGAAACTGTTGCCATATCTTAGATTTGGTGGGGGGGTCCTGTTTTGCCCTCTCCTCATTAATCTGTATTGGCTTGTCCTTTGGAAAAAAAAAGATTTATTTTATTTATTTGAAAGTTAGAGAAAGAGAGAGACAGAGATAGAGAGACTTTCCATCTGCTGGTTTACGCCCCAAATGGTCACAACAACCAGGCTGCGCCAGCCCAAAGCCAGGAGCCTCTTCTGGGTCCCCTACATAGGTGCAGGGGCCCAAGCACTTGGGCTATCTTCTGCTGTTTCCCAGGCCATAGCAGAGAGCTGGATCGGAAATGGAGCAGCCAGGACTTGAACCGGTGTCTACAGGGGATGCCGGCACTGCAGACAGCGGTTTAACCCGCTGTGCCACAGCGCTGGCCCCGACAGCGCTGGCCCCGGCTTGTCTTCTTCATGTGAAGGAACTTAGCTCATCTGCAGCTTCCAGTGTTAAGGAGAGCCGCTCTTTCTCGGGGGCGCCTTTCTGTTTTTACGTTGCGTGTGGTGCCTTTGTTCACTGGAGTTTTAGTTCTCGGAGACGGGAAGCTAAGCAGCCACTTCTTCACGGCCTCTGAGACTCAGATCTTGCTGGACATGTCTCTGTCCACCCGCGACAATACAGACTGGCCCCAGGCTTTCTTCTAGATCTTTCTGGGCCTTATTTGTGACTCTTGCTTCTTTGCTCTGCTCCACTTTCTTTAGGGTAAGAACTGAGCTTTCACGTCTCCCACCCCAGCGCTGGCAGGCACTGGGCGAGGAGTTAACCATCGCTCCTCTTCCCTCCTCAGGAGACTGAAGAACTCCTTTGACCTGTATGTCAAGGGCCTCACCATTTCCGTCCACCTCGTGTTGGGCAGCGAGCCCTCCGGGAGGCCCACGGTCACCACCTCCAGCTGCAGCAGCGACATCCAGAACGTGGAGTTGGACATAGAGGGGGACCTGGAGTAGGTCACCGCCGGGACTCCGCCAGCCTGGGCCCCGGCTGCAGCCCCTGCATCCCCTCACCTGGCCTGGCTCCGGGTGGAACCGTCAGCCTCTTTCTGGGCCCCCAAAGATAAACTTGTAGGGGCCACGGCTGGCAGGCTCAGGTGCAGATTCAAGCCAGGGCTTGACGAAAGTCAACTTCAGGGGCCCTTTGTCAGGCAGATGAGAGGTGGAACACAGAGAGAAACACGAGGCAGGTGGTTGAAGCCGATCCCGGAGCAAATCCTTTCCTCTCTGAGTTGCTCAGTCCCCTGGATTAAAAAAAAAAAAAAAAAGAGTGCTTTCTCAGTCCCTCCCCCAAGTCCCTGACCTTGAGCAGGTCCAGCAGGTGGCTGGGAAGCTAGGTGCACTGAACTGGAATGGGTGGGACCCTGGGGCTTTGCAGGGCTCCAGGACTGGGGGGAGGACCCCCTGGGGGCTGGCCTGGCCCGAGGCCTGTGCTGACCGTCACTCTGCGCCTGCGCGTCTCCACAGGGAGCTGCTGAACCTCCTCCAAAGCCAGATCGATGCCAGGCTGCGCGAAGTGCTGGAGAGCAAGGTCAGCGGGCCCGGCTGGGGGGTGAGGGAGGCCGCGGACACGCGTCCAGCCTGAGCCGGGCTGGGGAAGCGAGTGTGGACACACAGGGGCCCAAGGCCCAGAGAACACGCGCGGCTGCCCCTGTCACAGGCTGACTGTGTGGCGCTGGGGGCAGCGCTCTCTGGGCTCTGCCTTTGTCCAGCCAGGCAGAAAGCAGCCAGGTGCTTGGTCAAGGGCAAGATGCAGGGGCCAGGGACCTGGCTCCACCTGCTCAGCTCTGCTCACTGCCACCGCCACCTCGGATCCCACAAAAGTCAGACAGGAACTCACAGGGCAGGAGTGTGGCCTAGCGGTTAAGATGCCCGCATCCCAGATCCGACAGCCTGGGTTCGAGCCCAGCTCTGTTCCTGACTCCAGCTTCCTGCCAGTGCAGACTTTTGGAGGCAGCAGATGGTGACTCAAGCACCTGGGTCCTGGCCCCCTTGTGGGAGACCTGGATGGAGCTCCTGGCTCCTGGCTCTGGCCTGGCCTCGTTTCAGCCCTGATGAGCGTCTGGGGAGTGAAGCAGTGGATGGAAGATCTCCCTCCCCCTGTCTTTCTCTCTGTGTCTGTCTGTCAAATTAAAAAAAGAGGGTGGTCAAAAAGTGGATTTAAGAGATAAGTTTATGAAGAGGTTTTAGAAAGGAGACCAGCACTCAGGTGCCCGCAGAGGCGGGGGGCCCAGGCAAGCTCGTGGGCGCCTGCCCTGGGTGGAGAGGCTGTGGCGTTGTCAGACATTCCTGTTTAAAAGATATGTGAAATCTTCAGATTTTATAATCTTTGGCTAAAATAAAACTCATTTCACCCCCAAAATCCCATTTTTGAGGTGTTGCACACCCAGACCTGGGTCTGTAGTGAAGACTCTGGGAATAAAAGGAAAAATTCACATGTACCCCCCCCACACATACACCATAAACCACACATGCACACACATACACACACCACACCTGCACATACCACACACATGCACTACCACACACATATGCACCACACACCATACACTAAACACATATACATATCACATACACACCACATCACACATACACCACACATACCACACATGCATGTACCACACACATATGCACCACACACACCATACACTAAACACATACACGTATCACATATGTGCATCACACTCATACATGCATGCATCTCACACACCATGCACACCACACATACATGTACCACAATACCACAAATGCATGTACTGTACACACGTGCATGCGCCACACACATATGCACCACACACCATACACTCAACATGCACATATCACATATGTGCATCACACACTTACTCATGCACACACATGCATCACATACACCACACACACACACACACACATGCATTTTTAAAGGCCAGCCATCTGCATGGTGTATGGTATCTAATTGCTTCCACTTTTTTTTTTAAAGACTTATTTTATTTATTTGAGAGGCAGAGTGACGGGGTGGGGGGATCTTCCATCCACTTGCATTCCCCACATGGCCGCACCAGTTGGCCGGGCTGAGGCTGGGAGGCAGGACCTCCATCTCCCTTGTGAGTGGCAGCCCCTGAGCACTTGGGCACCCTCTGCTGCTCTCCAGGCGCCTTAGCAGGGAGCTGGCTCAGAGCGGAGCTGCCGGCACTGGCCCCAGGGCTCTGCTATGGGAGGCCCACGTGGCAGGTGCTAGCAGCTAATCCTGCAGTGCCTCCGTGCCGGGTGCTCCACCGAACCTTGGCCTCACTTTTCTGACAGCAGAAGCTCTGAGTAGTGGAGGAACTCACCCCGCGTCAGCTGGCTAGGGAGAGGAAAGATCAGGGTAGAACTTCCTGGGATGTGGCGCCCCTTATGCCAAGGCCTCGCAGGACCCGGTGCCTTGGGACAAGGAGCTCTCCCCTGACCCCAGTCCTTATGGTCCTCAAAGATCTCCTCCCGTGGAAGCCAAGGGCCTGGGGCGAGTGCTTTCTAATTCTGCACTCGGGACAGGATGCGGTGTCGGAGCAGCAGGACAGAGAAGCAGCAGCAGCACCCACTCACTTCTCAGCCCCACTGCCTCCAAAACCCCAGAGGCACATGGCCTTGGCCTCGCCACTGCTTCCTGTGCGTGAGGACCACAGGTGGAGAGAGATGGCGCAAAGGTCACCGAGCAGGATTTGAACCCAGGCTTGTTTGGCTCTGCTGCTGTCTCACTGGGAGACCCTGCTGTGCCTCCATGGCCCCCTGCCTCTGCCGTCTGGGTCCCTGCAGCAGTGGGGCAGGTGGGCGCAGGTGTGGGCATGGCAGATGGGCCCATGTGTGGGTGTGGCAGATGGACGCAGGTGTGGGAGTAGTTGATGGGCTGTTGTCTGAAGGGAAAAAGAGAAGGGAATAACGGGGAGGCCAATGGCACTTTCCAATTCCGCTGCAACTGATCTGGAATGTTCTTACCACCTTTCTCCGTGTTCTGGCAGCTCCTCACTGCTAAACTCCTCCCCAGAAAGGCAGCTGCAAAGGGGGGATAAGCTACAAGCCCCTCCCATGCCCCAGTGCCTGACTGATGCCTGTTCACCCTTAACAATGTCACCTCTGCCCAGAAGCCACCTGTGAGCCCCACCTGAGGCCAAGGCCCCCCCACAGCCCTCTCAGGTGGACGTGTTACACAGTAGCTGGCAGCTGGCTAATGAAAACACTCAAGTGAGGACTCTCCTGCACACAGAGACAAGAGAAAATCTTGACATTGGAGCCCAGTGTTTGAAAACACAGGGACTACAAATTCATTTGTCAGCTTTGGGTGGAGGGCGCATAACTCACCACCATGGCCTCTCACGGACTGGGTCTTGCCTGCATAAAGCATTGACCTGCTATAAATTCTTTCATCACAAAGGCGATGTAAAGGCACTTGGGAAGCCACCCCAGTGCAGAACGCTCCTAGGTTTTCATGGCTGCTTTTTCCTCCTAAGGCTTTCTGACGTCCACATTTGAATACCTTTTTGCAGCACCTCCCCTGCCCAGAGTATGCATCTCGGGCTCTCGTGGAAACAGCCCCCTTCTCAGGCACTTTTTGCTGGCTTACATACTAGATCATCCGAGGGATGGTGGCAGCACGCACAGCCAGCAGGGTTGGAGATGTGTTTCTCTCTCCTGAGACGCTCCCTCTCAGATGGTGACAAGTAATTGTGGGTGACTTCCAGACACGAGCGTTCGGTCTTCGCTGGGCACGTGAGAATGGCGAGCCTCAGCTGTCCAGTGATGACGATGAGGAGCATTCACTTTAAGTCTGCGTTTACCTGCGTTCCTGTTCCTAGTTACCACCTCGCTCTGCCATGAAGCTGAGTTCTGGGAGCCAAGGTCTCCCTAAAGAAAATATCTCTAATGGCGTAGTTTGGGGGAGTGTCTCCAGCTGGGTCCCCTTCACCTCCCTGCGGTAGTGACTGCCTTGCTCAGATAATCAGCTGCGGGACAGACTCCCAGAAAGCCCAGGGGTCCACACGGGGGCGCACTTTTGTCTTCGTCGTGTCCAGCACATGAGAAACACTCACCGAGGTTTGTAGAATGACTGATCCCTGGGAGAACGTGTGAAGACGAGCACAGCGCCAGGTCAAACCCGGGGTCTCACCGAGCCTTCCTGTCTTCTCTCAGATTTGCAGGCAGATTGAGGAAGCCGTGACGGCCCACCTGCAGCCTTATCTACAGACACTGCCAGGTAGGGCGCCCCATGCACTCCTGGGACGCTGGTGACGTCTGTAAGAGCACAGATGTCACCAGACATCGCACAGGAGGGCACGAAGTAGAAAGGAAATGCTCCCTTTTTTGCCCCAACTTTTCTTCCAGGAGGTAGCTTCTGTCTGGGGCGCGTCTTTTCAGGTCTTTTCAGACACAAAGGCACGTACTCCTGTGCCTAGACCTTCATCCATGCGTCCTCTCTGCTCCTGAGCTTATGTGGAACGATGCGTGTGTGCCAGCATGCGGAGTGTAGATGCTGCTCTGCGGGCTGTTTCTTTTTGAACTTGTAGGAACTCAGCCACCGCCCAGCCTTCAGGGCTAACCAGGGTTCCGGCTTCTACCAGCAAAGACTAATTTGCACCCTGTACAGAAGCGCAGTCGTACGCTTTTTGAGTCTTTTTTCCAAAGCCTGAAAGGCTGAGCACCCTGAGGTGGCCCAGAGCCTGTTGCCTCCAGGCAGACCCTGCCTTCTCCCGGCTGTGCCGTGTCCTCTGGGTCCCGCTCCACGGCTGAAGGCTGTTTGGGCAGTTTCCGCGCGAGACCACTAGGGGTCGTGCTGCTCTGAATGTCCTGGAGCGTACACAGGCTGCCGCGGCACGCAGAGGTTAGCGTGATACCACACGGTTCTCTAAGTGGCTGTTGCAACGGCATCATTCTAACAGCTGTATAGTATTCCATCAGGGCGGTGTCTCTTCCTTGTTCTGTCATTCTTGCTGTTGCCAGCAAGGGGTCCCCTTGCTCACGCCTCTCTGCCTGCACGTGTGAGTGCATCTGCAGGACAGACAACCGTGTGTGCGGGAGGAGTCCCTGGGTCCCAGGAGCACGACGAAAGTGTGCAGAGCCAGTGACAGCTGTCTGAGATGTCGTCTGATACGCTGTGTGCACCTGGGGCCCGGGCGGCCACAGATGACCCAATGTGTGAGAGCACAAAATGTGTTCCCTTAGGGCCTCGGAGCGCGGAGTGTAATGCCCCCACCGCAGTCAATCCAGCAGTGGGACCAGAGCTCCGTGCAGCCTCTTCCATGGGGAAGCAGGTCTCTGTTGCTGGCCCCGGACGGGGGTCTTTAGGTGGAGGGGCAGGGGGCTCAGAAGAAAGTCACAGGGAGCGGCCAGAGCCTTCTCTGTCAGCCAAAGGCTGTGCCCGGCTCCTCATTCTGCCCCATCCTGGTCCACAGTCACAACGCAGATCGACAGCTTTGCCGGCATTGACTACAGCTTGATGGAGGCCCCCCGGGCAACAGCTGGGATGTTGGATGTGATGTTTAAGGTGAGGTTCCTGGCGGAGAGGCTTGGGTGGGTCCAGCCCCAGCGAGGCAATCCCCAGGGTCAGCCTGTTCCTCTAACAGTCAGCTCCTCTCCCCCGTGGTGCCCATTGTGCCAAGGGCAAGGCTATACAGAACGGTGAGGAGCATTCCCAGAGCTAGGAGCCCAGCACAGGCGTCTCACGACCCTAAGATCTTCAGACCTCCTCTCCTCCTTGTTCCCCCTGTTCCGCCCACCTTGCAGGAAAAGGTCCATCAGGGCTGGCCCAGGGTGGTGCTGAGGGGTGGTCAGCACCGCTGCAGGTTAATATACCAGAGCCACGCCCAAGTTCAGCTACGCTTTCACCCAAAGAAAGCACGCTTCGTGATGGACTTTCAGGCCATGTCCGCGGCCAGGTCGCTGGGCCAGGCCATGTGGCTGACTCCCTAGCGTGGACACCAGCCTGGGGTGGGGGGAGCATGTGACAAGTCCCGCTGGACCCTGTTTCTCTCGCCAGGGTGAAATTTTCCCTCTGGATCACCGCAGCCCAGTGGACTTCCTTGCTCCAGCCATGAACCTCCCCGAGGCTCACAGCCGAATGGTCTACTTTGCCATCTCCGATTACGTCTTCAACACCGCCAGCCTGGCCTACCACAAGTCAGGGTACTGGAACTTCTCCATCACAGACGCCATGGTAAGGAGCAGGCAGACGGGCGCTCTCGGAACCCTAGGACTCAGCCCTCCCTGCCTTCTTCCCTCTCCACCCCATTTATGTCAGAAACATTGTAAGTTACGAGAGAGAGAAAAGTCAGAATCAGGGAGAATAAAGTTAGAGCAATTTCCCTTTTTCACTCTGGCTACCAGGCAGCTCCAAGCCACGCTTCTTTCTCCCTCATAACAGCCATGGACGCCCCTGCAGCTCATTTGTCTGTGTTTTCCTTCCTTTCTAGTGCAGCCCTGTTATTCTAATTCAATTCCCTTTCCTCCTGGTGATGCGTGGAGATTAATTTAAAAATGCTTAGTGAATGAGGCGGGATAACAGATGCAGTGTTAGATGAGACAGAAATAAAGATGAGGGTAGAGTAAAGCTCACTTGTAAGCACTCTGGGCCCATAAACAGCTCTAGCAGGGAGCTCCCTTGCAGCCCAAGTGAAAAGGGTCCCAGTAAACAGGTAAAACAAAGTCTGCCTGATACTTAACCTTGAACATGACTGTCTCCCATGGGGCTTTGTGTAAGGGAGACTGGATTCTACAGGGATCCCCTCTTTAGTATTTCTCTAGGTTCTTTAATGTTTCTAGTTTCAAAGTGGTTTTTTTTTTTTAAGATTCTGTTTATTTAATTGAGAGGCAGAGATACAGACAGAGAGAGGGAGAGACAGGGAGGTCTTCCATCTGCTGGTTCACTCCCCATGTGGCCGCGACGGCCAGAGCTGAGCTGATCCGAAGCCAGGAGCCGGGAGATTCTTCCAGGTCTCCCATGAGGGTGCAGGGGCCCAAGGACTTGAGCCATCTTCTACTTTCCCAGGCCACAGCAGAGAGCTGGATCAGAAATGGAGCAACCGGGACTAGAGCCAGCATCCATATGGGATGCCGGTGCTGCAGGTGGAGGCTTAGCCCACTACACCACAGCGTGGGGGCTCCAGGGTTGTTTCTTACAGCACCTCATAATGGTTGACATCTCATGAACATAAAACAGTTCAGTTCGACAGGGATGGGCCTGTTTGCCCTGGTCAGGGACTGTCTAGCAGGTGGATGGAGTGACTCTCCCTCGCGTGACTTCTCCTCTCCCATGACCAACGGTGACTCACCACCACTCCCCCCCACATACACACACAAACATCCGTGGCACAGGCCTGGCTTTTGGTGGTGCTGGGGGTGATCACAGCTCTTCCACGGAGCACTCACAATGTGTGAGGGCTTGTGCCCTCTGCTCACTTGGCCTCGCAATGACCTAAGGCAAGGACAACTATCATCCCGGTTTTGTAGATGACGTTGAGACTTAAGGACAGGAAAGGACTGGCCTGGGAACACCCAGTAACCAAGCCAGGAGCCAAACGTAGGTCAGTGGGACTGCAGGAGGCACCCAAAGTCCCCCAGGGAGGCCTTTGTGCCACCTCCACCCCAAGGAGAGTAGCCAGGGACACAGGTGCTCTGCTTGGGGTGAACACAAGACCAGCTTCAAGAAGCTACCATCTGGGGCACTCCCCCTCCCCCACTTCTCTAGCCCCTCAGCTCCTGTCCGGTCCCCTAAGACTCTTCTGTGTCTCCACCGCAGGTTCCGGCCGACTCCAACATCCGGCTGACCACCAAGTCCTTCCGCGCCTTCGTCCCCCGGGTAAGAGTTCTCGCAGCCCCCCAGGGTGCAGACTAAATGCACGAGAGTCCTGGGGCTTCTCCTAAGCTCTCTGTACTCCTCTCAGCTTGGCCAAGAGTCGAAGGGTGGCAGCCGCCCGCAGTGAAGGCCTGGGGGTTGGGGGCTGCAGGTTTCGGGGCTCCCCGCGAAGTCACAGTAGCAAAATCCCAGTCCCCACGCTCCTGGGATCACAGGTTGTCCAGCCTTTTATCAGCGCTAAGAATCCCAAGCACGCTGGCATGTTTCATAGCATGTGCCCTAACTAATGCCATCTAACAGAGGGCTTCTTAGGGGTCAGGCATACTCTCAGTGCTTTGAAACATTATTTTTTGAGTGAGTAACAAATTCTCCTGGTTCAGTTTTCAAAAGACACATGAAGTTTTAGCAAGCAAAGTCTCAGCCCACCCATGTCTTCCAACACCCAACCCGTCTGGAATCTGAGCCCTCCCAATGATATTCTCAGCATAAGGCATGCAGCAAATATTGTGCATCTATGTGTTTGCACAAATGGAGGACTGCTAGACACCATTTTGTCCCTTTTCCCCCTCACTAGATCTGTAAGACCATTCCCGACAGGTCTAGAGGAAGTGCTCTCATTCTTTTCTTCAACGGTACCCACCCTGCCATGGCTGGGTTGACCATAGCTTGGTTAACCTGTCCTGGTGGAAGGCCGTCTTCCTCGTTTCCAATCTTTTACTACATCAGTGTTGTAGTGAACAACCTGGTAGCTCTGTCATTGCTGGACTTAATTCTTTAGGTGTGTCATCTCATTTAATAATGAAACAATCCACCAGTCCTGTTCCCTGCCCCCAAGACCCCGAGACACGGCAGAAAGAGGCAGCAGTGGGTAACATACCTTGCACAAGGTGTGGTGATAGCCGAAGGGAATTATAAAGGTGGGGCAAAGTGTAAACCTCACGTCCGATGGTATCTGGGCTATGTCTGTATCCATGGCGCCCCCTACAGGCCCTTTCTGTTCCTAGAGCCCCATTCACAGCCAGACCGGCCGCCATGTTGTCCTAGCCAGCTTTGGGCTGCCCTTGGCCGTACTCTGGCTCCACTGTCCCTTTTGCCCCCAAAAGAGAAGGAAACCCTCCTCGGCCTTCCTGCCTGTTTCATCATCGGCCATGAGGAGAAGCAACGCCCCCACCCCGTGAAGCTTCTCATTCAAGAACAGGATATAGATTTTACACTGACATAACCAAGAGGCTCATGGGAAAGGTTTTTTTTTTTTTTTTTGACAGGCAGAGTGGACAGTGAGAGAGAGAGAGACAGAGAGAAAGGTCTTCCTTTGCCATTGGTTCACCCTCCAATGGCTGCCGCAGCCGGCGCGCTGTTGCCGGTGCACCGCGCTGATCCGAAGGCAGGAGCCAGGTGCTTCTCCTGGTCTCCCATGGGGTGCAGGGCCCAAGAACCTGGGCCATCCTCCTCTGCACTCCCTGGCCATAGCAGAGAGCTGGCCTGGAAGAGGGGCAACAGGGACAGAATCCAGTGCCCCGACTGGGACTAGAACCCAGTGTGCCGGCGCCACAAGGCGGAGGATTAGCCTAGTGAGCCGCGGCGGCAGCCATGGGAAAGTTGTTCGTCCACCAACTTTCCCTGCAAAGGAATGGTCTTGCCCCGAATTAAATTCTGTTCCTCCCTCTAGCTAAGCCACACAGTGCCGTCGTGTTTGAAACGGTGGGATCTGTGTGTGTTGTATTTCAAACACGCTGGCGTCCATTCTCGGGGTGTCCGGTCACCCAGTGCAGTGACAGCCTGAGGACCCACGGCTCTCCCTCATTGCCTGGTGGGGTGGCCAAAGCCGGCCTGACAGGTTGGCAATTCTCACCAAACCTTTAAAAGCAGCCCTGTGCTTTGACTCAGCGATTCCACCCCTAGGAATGGTTTCCTGAAAAGACTAGCCAAGGGTGCTCAGGGAAGTGAATGTGACAATGCCACAGCCTGGAGGTAGCTTAAAGCCCAGTAGAACTGGCTCAATGTAATACCCAATCACCATGGAATACAACGCAGCTATGAAATCGATGACGCGGATTCTGTCTGTGTGGACAGATGTCCAGTTGTGCTGTCACCGAGAAAAGGCACAGAGCATTGAGCACAGACGAAGCCAACCACAGAGCACTCTCAGCCTGTTGGACTTCCTCAGGACTCTCGGTGCAGCCACATCCCTGGAGTTTCTTCTCTCGACATAATCTCTTCATTCTGCTCCCAGCTGGCCAAGCTCTACCCCAACATGAACTTGGAGCTCCAAGGGTCAGTGGCCTCGGCCCCACTCGTGAACCTCAGCCCCGAGAATCTGTTCGCGGCACCCCAGATGGATATTGAGGCCTTCGTGGTCCTGCCCAGCTCTGCCAGGGAGCCTGTCTTCCGGCTGGGTGTGGTAAGACTCAGCCCTTACAACTGCTGTGCCCGCTGCCCGCGTGCTTGGCTCCCTTTCAACACCTGCTAATTCCTTCAGACCTCAAGTTAATTACCACCGCCCCAGCCGGGCTTGGCTGCATCAGGCTCATCCTCAATCTACCTTACCTCTTGCCATTTTTTCCTTGGAGCAACCCATGATTGTTCTTCACAGTGCCTGTTACAAGCACCTGCGTGGCTGTTTGCAGGTTTACTTGTTTAGTGTATGGATTGCCCTCTGAGTGAGTCTGGGCTGTTGTGGGGAGAAATGTACATGAGCCTTTGTCCTATTTGCTCTGTTATATGGCTATAGCTGGCCCCTCAAGACTACATTTCCCAGACTTCCTTGCACCCTGACTTCCAGTTAGGTCAGCCAATGGGAGGCACTGTCAGGAGAATGGAGGGCGGGAAGAAGGAGGAAGCCAGAGTGTGTTCTCCCATCTGTTTGCCTTGAGCAGAGGCTCTGGCAGTGATAGTGTCTCCTCCATGGTGGTTCCCACAACCGCACTTCCGTCTTCTCCAGCCCTGGGGAGGAAGCAGCCTCCAGCTTCTAGTGATTCCATCTCTTGTACAACAATTTCCCTGTCTTAAATTCCCACTGCATTAAATATTGAGAGTGGTTTTGAATCCTTTCCTGATGGGCCCTGACTAATGCGGAAGGAATTGAGAGGCCTTTGGGGAACCTGCTCAACTGGATGGAGAGCTCAGCTTTCTTGTTTTAGGGCTGAAGCTCAACAAGGCGAATCTCTGGTTGCCAACATGATCGCTGTTCTTAATTGATTTTAAAATAAGATGTAATCTATAATTATTATTGCTGGAGCTGAGCTTGCGGGAAATGTCCCTTTGTAGAGCTGTGCAGGGACAGGCCCTGTGCCTTCTCTTGGTAGTCTGTTCAAAGTTCAACTGCCATCATGGGCAGCAGTTTCAAGTACAAATGTTCTAGGCCAACTTCAAGCACTTACTGAGCACTTACAGTGAGCCTTCTGGGAGTCTGCAGTCTGGTGGGCACATTTCCTGCTTCCGCTGCGCTGAGCCAGTGGTGAGAGGAGACAGCTGGTGTTGAGTCATGCTTCCCACGCCAGACAACATCCATCATGTACACCTGTTACCTTCTCCCGGCTCTTCCAGGCCACTAATGTGTCTGCCACACTGACCTTGAACACCAGCAAGATCACTGGGTTCCTGAAGCCGGGAAGGTAAGTGAGGCTCCTGCCCATGCGGGGGCATCCCACCGGGGCCGGCTCTGCAGCTGGGGGTAGGACTGTGATCCTCTGGTCCATGTTAAGGGGCCGCTGTTTGGGTTGGAAACGTAAATTTCACCCCAATTGCCCCATTACCCCTGCCCCTAACACTTCAGATTTCTAAAGAATTTGCTAACACTGCTTTTTCTTGATCTCTGAGTTTTAGACGACAGCTATATGAGTTTCTTGAAATGATAAAGATTGGGCTCTTCTTCCACAACTCCCCACTGTCCCTCTTCCCAATACTGGTGTAGCGTTGCTTTTAGTTACTCAATCGTCGCTTCCACACCCACTCCGCCCTGGCCCGGTGCTGTCTCAAGGCCACGGCTTCCCATTTCTGGGGACTCCAGCGTTGCTCAGGCTTCTGTGTGCATAATGTTCACGTCTCTGGATCTTTCCTGCCCCGTTCTAGGCTACAGGTGGAACTGAAAGAATCCAAAGTCGGAGGATTCAATGTAAGTTGGTTTTTCTTACGGACATGACTAGCGTGCTAACTAATTTAGGGTGCGTCCTAAGTGATTCCCGTGCACCCATCACAGGAAGTAGAAAAGAAGAGGTGCCCTCGTCCCTGCAGAAACGTGGACCCTCTAGGGAGTACGAGACCCAGAACGGAGACACAGTTGCACCCCAGGATAACACACAACCGTGCTGCCTAGTGGACAGGATTCTTTTAATTGCAAAGCATAGGAAGCCAGCTGCAATTTTCTTAAGCAAAGAGGAGGCATGCATAGGGTCCTGGAGCTAAAAATCAAAAAGCAACGAAAAAAAACCCCAAGGCTGGAGGTTTCTCTGCACAGCAGGATCCAGGAGCTTGACTGTATCCACTCTCTCCATCTCTGTTCCACTTTCATCTGTGTTGACTTCATCCTCAGGCAGCCTCATCCCTGGTGAAAAGCCCTGAGGTTTCTTGTAAGTTAAAAAAAAAAAAAAAAAAGGCCCTGTGCTAGCTCTCACTGGATGTGTGCCCACCCCTCCACCAGTCACTGCAGCCGGAAGTGCAGCGAGGCCATTTGACCCAGCAGGGACCTGATCTACAGTCCTGGGACCATGACTTCGGGCAGCCACCCCAACCTCTGTGGACTGAGGCTGGGGGACACGGGGACTCTTAGGAAGACAAGAGGAGTCCCATGCCGGGCAGGCGACACCAAGGGGTGATAGCCACCCGGAGGAGACCTGGATGGCAGAAAGAGAAGGGCAAGATCAGCGTGGGCTGCAGTGATGGAGAAGAACTTTCTGGAAAGGGGGCAGGTGGGGTGATCAGCTGCTGCTCACGGGAGGGGGTGGAAGTCGTTGTCTTGGCTTTCACCTCCCCGTGGGCGCTGGGTGCCTCTGACCCGCTTCACCCCTGCCCTCCTCCCCAGGGCTTACAGAGTAGAAGTGGACACACAGACGGGAGGCAGAGACACTGCCGCAGGCCCCAGGGATGGCTTCCTGCAGCGCAGACAGGGTGAGGTGCAGTGGCACCCTGGCCTGGTGCGTGCACATGGCCTGCAAAATGCCCTGGACTGCCATGAAAAGGCCATCCTATCAGGTTTCCAGAACATGGAGGGTGAAAGCAAGAACTGTAGGCACAGATAAATTTAGGTTCAGATCCTGACCCCGCTGCCCTGTTTCCTGCAAGTCACTTTGGTTCTGTGGGCCTCAGTTTCCTTACCTATGAAATGGGGACTTTAGTATGAACCTTGTCGAGTTGTGGTAAAGATTCAATCAGATATATATGGAAACTCAGAGCCTTAGGTCTGGCATACAATGGATGTTAAAAGACGTTATTTCATAATTTTTAAAGCATTTGAAACAGAAGCTCATTTAGTTTTTACTCAGTTTTTTAAAAATATACAATTCAGGAAAGCACTCTCACTGTAAATGAAAAAGTTAAATACCAAAGATAAGGCCAAGGGCTCAGTCAAACCTGTGTGCTCTTCCCAAAGGAAAAACAAGTTGGGGGTACTGCCTTCCAAAATGTCTGTTTATCTGTGTACATATAAATGTGCATCTCAAAATACTTTTATAAAGTAGTGGCAAGTGTAGGTGTCCATCTCAATTTGGCTTTTGCCATGTCAGCATGGCACACCCCACAGCGAGACCCTGTGGCCATTGGCAGGCAAGATGGCCCGTGTGGTCACAGTGCACCTCTCCTGTTCTCCACCAGGTGGAGCTGTTGGAAGCTCTCCTCAACTACTACATTCTCAACAACCTCTACCCCAAGGTCAATGGTAAGAATATGGATTTTTTTCCCAAGTCAAGAATGGATATTCTTTTCTTTGGGGGAATGACAGCTGGACTTGGAGTTGGGTGCCAGGGCTCTCTGGGGCTGGGTGGCTAACTCAGGGAGGTCTCGCTTCTCCCTGAGTTGGGTTGTTGATGCTGGAGGAGGGTTGGAGGCTGGGGCAGCTTTGTGGGGCACAGGAAACCTCCCTCAGGGGAAGAGCTGGGACTTATGGAAGTGGCAGGTGAAAGACTGAGAGTCAAGTTTCAATGGACGCCTCTGAATTCTTGTTTCCCAGAAAACTACCCCACCCTTTAGTCAAAACACAAAGCTTCAAGCCCCCAAGCCCTATTTCTGTGAGGCACTGCCACCTTCATCCGGCATAGCAAGCAGAAGGGGTGCAGGGCCATCAGGTGGGGCTCCCGATCACTCGTGGCTGCCCCGCACCTGCCACTTCCTCCCATTGGCTCTGACAGCTTAGCCTTCTGTGTTTAATGCCAGCTCTGCCCCTTTCTAGCTGTGTGACCTAGAGAAAAGTCACATGGCCACTCGTGCCTGTTTCCTGATCTGCAAATGGGGATACTAATCACACCTACCTCTTAGTCGTGGTGGTCATTAAATGAGAATAGTGCGTGTGGAGCGTGCAGAGCGCAGAGTGCTTGGGGGAAAATGTGTCCGTGACCGTCATTTCCTGACAATCTCAATGTCATGCCTCAACCTGCAGAGAAGTTGGCCCACGGCCTCCCGCTCCCTCTGCTGAGGCACATTCAGCTCTACGACCTGCTTCTCCAGACCCACGAGGTAACTGGGGGGGGGCCGACTGGGGGTCATAACTGGGCGGGTGGGACCCAGCCCAGCCCTGCACCTCGGGAAGCCAGCATGGGTTAGGACGTTCTGGGGGTCGCTCTAAGCCGGGAAGCTGTCCATGGGTTCTTCAGGTGCCTGGCACCTAGTCAAGTCTCCGCCCATTGTAACTACTAACGTCGGGGGTAGGGGGGACAGTAGACACCCCCTGCTCTTGTATTTGCAAGACGAATCTGCAGGGACTCCGAGATAGTCCACAGTCACCTCCCGCTGAGTGTTCCCAAGCAGTCAGACAGATCGCTGTTCCAAATGAAGACGGAGTGTCAGTCCACACAGCTGGCCTCAGCTTTCACCTGGGCAGGACGGGTGTAGCCCACCTGCTCTCAGACGGCAGGTTCTCCTTCTCACACACTGAACCAGCGCGGCATTCTGCTTCTGAGAAAGAGAAGTTCATTATCAATTACAGGCCGGGGGGCAGGGGGGCAGGGGGGCAGATCTTCCTGAAGCTGACATCCGTCTCCCCGCTCAGAGAGGAGGTTGGGGTTTATGGATTTAAGATAATGGCGGGGGCAGAACATGACAGGTGCAGAGGGAAGCGGGGGTGGAGAATCCTTGGAGCGTGCCTTGACGAATCACGCGTGGACACCCCACGCATGTGCAAAGACAGCTGCCGATACCAGGTCGGAGGTGTCGCTCCACATGACGATGAACCACAGGGTAACTCTCCCTGTGCAGTCTGAGCCGATCTGCACAGGCTCCAGTTACAAAACTGGCTGCAGCCAGCTCTGTCCAGTTTTACAAGGGACCCTGGAAAAACAGTCCAGCAGATTTATTTATTTTTTAGCAAAGGCAACTATTATGGGCTTGCCAGTTACTATGCAGCAGGTAGGCAGATGACTATTATGGGCTGTTAGTATGTTAGGCAGCCTCGGGGAGATTGCCATGAAGCAAGGGGTGGCGGCTCCTCATTGTCCATGTTTCACAAAGCTTACAGGGTATCTGAAAATTCGAAGCCAAGTGTGAGAACTGCAGCTCCACGTTTGGCACATGGGAAGGGACTAGCAGATTTATTACCCATTATCACATTCATTAAAAATGTGAGGTCAACTCCAGCCACCAGGCTGATCATGAAAGGTAGGGGGATGGATCGCTGCGGGGAGGAGTTGAACTTGACCTTGAGCTCAGAATCCCGGCACTCTGGGTGATGGAAACGTCAGGAGAGCAGCAGAGGGAACCCCAGCGGCTCTCAATTTTGCATTCTTGGCCCAGGTGACACAAAAAACAGACATTTCTGAGGCCCGTTAAGAAGCAGTGACAGTGGCTCGTCGCCCAAAGCTGTGCTTCATGGGGACCTTGGGGACCGAGGCATGTCGCCGTTTAGGCACTGTTTCCCAATGGGTGGGCTCCGTTTACATCAAAGCACACGCGTCTTGCCGGCTTGGACGGGGCTCCTCACCCTCCTGTGCTGTCTTCTTCCTCCTAGAACTTCCTGCTCGTGGGCGCCAACATCCAGTACAGGAGAGTTTGAGGGCAGGAGGAAGATGGGGTGTGGAGGCCACAGCTGGATGTGCGGTGGCCTCTCCAGGTGTGCGGCCGATCCTTGGAGAACCGGGAGGACGCAGGCGTTCCTGTTCCCAGCTCCTGGGGTCGGCTCTGCCTGGCCTCTCCACCAACTCCTTCTCTTCTCCAGGGGCACCCAAGCCCTCCCTGCCTCAGGGTCTGCTTCCCTCCAGGGTAGCCCCCTTAGGAGCCGGCGCTGGAACCTTCATTCTCCCTGTGATCCCAGTGCCCGGAACAGTGTTGGCACCGAGCAGATGCTCAGTAAACGCTGACTAAGGGATCCCGTGAGCCCCTCCTGCCGTTCCCGCTGAACCTCCTGACTGCCCACCCTCCTCTGACCGCGGGCGTCTTTGATTGATCAGCCCCACCTGTGGTCTCCAAGGCTGGACCTTGAACTCTGCTCTCATCGACCGCTGCTCCTGGGGCCTGGACAGGAGAGTGAGGGGCTCCCCACGCGGCCGGTCTGGACCTGGGGCTGAGGTCTCTCTCTAAGGGCCCTGTCCTGTCTCTTTTGTGCCCACAGCCTCCCTCACACCTTGCCTGCTACAGAGAGGGGAGCCCGTGGGTGCCCCAGAGCAGAGACTCGGCGCCCTGCAGCTGTCCCGGTTGAAGCAGGTGTCAATCAGGAGGATAAAAAGCTCCTCCCGGGACAGTCTTCCGTGTGCAGCCCCCAGCCTGGACAGAGGCTCTGGAGTCCCCTCCACTTACAGAGCTGGGCCCCCAGGGGTGGGCAGGCAGAAAGTGTGATAGATCAATCCCGCTGCGGGGAGCCATGGGCTAGCAGATAATTCACTGAGAATAGACCCGGTTTCCCTGAGTGTGAGAGCCAGGTGTTCAGAGATGGGAGGGTGCTTTGTTGATCACCCAGCTGGCAGCAGGGTAGGCCAGGCCTTTGCTCCCTCCCTCCTCGAGGCCTCTGCTCTCTTGTCCGCCACCATCCTTCATGGCGGTGGAAGACTGGAGAAGGGGCCCGTGGCCTGGGCACCTGTGAAATCAGGATGGTGATAATGGCAGCCATATCCTAGGGCTGTTGCAATGTGTGCGCGTGCAGCCGGCCAGGGTGCTTACTAAGCACCTCCCACCTGCCAGGCTCTGGCCTCCTGGACCTGAGAAGAAATGGAGCCAGCACAAACCCAGATCCAGTTCCTGCTCTGAAGAGCGGGTATGGGGCAAAGAGCCAGTCTTGACTCCAGCTCACCTGCAGGGTCCCCTGGACAAGAACCTCTGTGAGCCTCTGCGTCTTCCCTGTCAAGTGAGGCTGGCAAAGGCTCCTGGGCTGGGCTCAGGACTAGCATCTGAGGGTGCCCTGGGCCGTGCCAGTGCTGGTCAATGCTGATACAGTCTTCCTGTTTGGCTTAGGGCTCCCCAGAAGCTGAGGTCAGGAGGTAGTAGACTGGTTGATTTGGAGAAAGATCCAGGAATACCCCCCAGCAAGTGGGAAATGCCAGAGAAGAGCGGGCAGCCTACATAAAGGGTGCATGACCACACCGGGCCCTGCGAGGGTGATGGAAGCTTAACCCCCTGGGAAAACTGAGAGCCAATGGAGAACCCACTTCTCACCCCAGGGCCAAGGAGGCTGAGAGATTCACACACCATCTCCCGCCATCCTCAGCTCAGGGGACTCCGGGGGGGCTCATGAGCTCTCTGGCTCTTCCCGTCTGGGCAGAGCAGGTCCTGGCAGCCATGGACGTCTCGGCAAGAGAACTCAGCTTGGTGTGTGCCAACATGGCAAAGGCTGCTGACGTGGGCGGGGCACTGACGCGGTGCACACAGGATCCCGCCTCGGGGTAGGAGTTCACCGGCTCAAAACCCCGTGTGTGCAATAAAACTGCCTGCCGCGTTGCCTGGAAACGCTGTGGGTTGCTCTCCTTGCATATTTTTAGGAAACGCAAGCTAGTTTGCAGAAAACCTTGCATTCCACAACGTTGTAGCACAGTCCAGGGCTTTGACTCCAAGGAACAGCTGGGGGCGGGGGGAGCTCACGGCACAGCTGGTTAAGCCACTGCTTGTGACACCAGCATCTCATGCTGGCATGCCCGCTCCAGTCCCAGCTGCTCTGCTTCCGATCCTGCTTCCTGCTAATGTGCCTGGGAAGCAACAGAGGACAGTCCAAGTGTTTGGGCCCCTGACACTCACATGGGAGACCTGGGTGGAGTTCCTGGCTCTTGGTTTTGGCCTAATCCAGCCCTGCTGTTGGGGGCATTTGGGCAATGAACCACTATATGGGAAAATCAGTCTCACTCGCTCACTTTCCTCTCTGTTACTTTGCTATTCAAAAAAGAAAAAAAAATTTTTTAAGAAAGAGAAAGGGGGGCCGGCACTGTGGTACAGTGGGTAAAGCTGCTGCCTGGAGCTTCAGCACCCCATGTGGGTGCTGGTTTGAGTCCTGGCTGCACCACTTCCTATCCAGCTTCCTGCTAATGTGCCTGGGAAAGCAGTGGAAGATGGCCCAAGTCCTTGAGTCCCTGCACCCATGTGGGAGACCTGGAAGAAGCTCCTGGCTCCTGGCTTCAGATTGGTCCAGCTCCAGCCATCGCGGCCACTTGGGGAGTGAACCAGTGGATGGAAGACCTCTCCCCCCACCCCCAACACTGATGCCTTTCAAACAGATAAATCTTTTAATTTAAAAAAAAAAAAGGAAAGAAAGAGAAAGACAAAGAAGAAAAGGCTCAGGGAAGCCCAGGCCAGTCCTTGATGAGTACGGGGCGCCAGGTTTGCTGTGAAATGGGGAAAACATTTACTTGTTGTTCATAAGACCAGGGAGTCTAGTGAGACCACACACGCTCGTCCTGTAACACCTCCGCTGAGTCAGCTCCGTGATAGGCCCGGAGCCACTGGTGCAGGCCCTGGGTTCCCACGGCGGGAGCTGACACCCTGACATCTGACTGCAGAGTTAAAGACCCTGCAGACCCAGAGGGGTCTCTGCCTTTGCCAGAGAGCAGGCCAGAGTCACAGACACACAACTCTTCCCACCTGCCCCTCCCCTTCCTGTCCCTTCCCTCCGAAAGCACGCTCTAAATCCTGTCTTCCAAGAGACGTCTGGGCCAGCTCGGAGTTGGTGCGACAGCAGCAAGGAACCCGGGAACAGCCGCCACCGCCTTCCCACGGTTCCCACTCCCGGTGCCTAAGCTGCCTTCTTGTCACTGCGGGGTTCACTGCCCCCGTTAGACTGCGGCTGACAGAAGGCGCCTCCGTCACGGGGGTGAGCAAGCATGACCTGCTGGAGTGCCGGTGCTCCCATGTGATGATTGCTCCACGCGTGTAAAATCGCGCGTTTTCTCTTGCTGAGCTGTCTTTTGTGAGCAAGAATCTGTCCCACCCAAGAACTGGCGAGGGTTGTGAAATGAAAAGTCAGCTTGTCTCGCCTTCAGTATCCGGGACAGCTCTGACCTGTAGAGTAGTACTGGCCTTGGGACAGGAGGCTCTGGTCCCAGCGACCGGGACTCCAGGCCGTCAGAGCCACCAAGATGGAGAGCGCATTCAGCCCGGTGGTTAAGATGTCAGTTAAGACACCTAGCAGGGGCCAGCACTGTGACACAGTGGGGACGCCAGCGCCTATGACACCGGCATCCCCTAGGAGCGCCGGTTTAGTCCTGGCTGCTCCATTCTGATACAGCTCCCTGCTGATGCACCTGGGAAAGCAGCAGAGGATGGCCCTGCACCCACATGGGCGAGTGAACCAGTGGGTGGAAGAGGTCTCTCTCCCTCTCCCTTTGTCTCTGCAACTCTGTCTTTCAAATAAATAAATCTTTAAAAAAAATTTTTTTTTAAAGACACCCATGCCTCATGTCGGAAAGTCTGGGTTCAATTCCCAGCAGACTGAAAGCTGGTGTGCTCACGGTGACAGCTGATTCTAGTGAAAGAATACAAATTAAAACCAGCACAGGGCAGAGGCGCACAGGGCAGAGTCCAGGTTGCCCTCTGCACGGGGTCGTGGACAGCCTCGCTCTTCTGCACCAATCTGTGATGGGATCCATGAAGGAGCCCCGCCAGGGAGGCCGGCCAGGCCTTGGAGTCCAGTCTTTCCTGGGGCTTGGCTATGCCCACCTGTGACGCCCGCATCCCTCAGCATCTGGCCCCGGCCCTCCTCCAGGACGCGTCAGCCACCAGGGCTTTGCAGGACACCCCTGGTTGCACTGTGCTTCTGGTCCAGCCCCCTCTTCGGCGATGTCAGCCTGTGCCCCGCCTGCAGGCCTGACGTCCCCCTGGGCTAGCTGGCTGCGGGGGCCCGTGTCCTGCTGGTGTGCGGGTGGACAGGCAGAGGCACCCTGAGGGTTTCTCCCGGAGTCTGGTGCATGAATTCCCCAGCACCTCCACCTTGGCCTGCTTCTCCAAGTCCGCAGACGACACTGATGGCAAAGTACAGCACAGCAGATGGCTGCTTTTGGGGCCAGAAGAACTCGAGTTCCCGCGTGGGGCACTGAAGAAGTAAGACTCAAGGAAAAGGCTCTCCCCCTCACGTGATCTCAGGGGCCAGTAGTGGAGACACAGCAGCGGGAACCCCTGGGACAGGAGGGCTGTTTTAAAAGGATGCTCTTGGGTGCCAGTGCTGTGGCGTAGCGGGTAAAGCTGCTGCCTGCAATACCGGCATCCCACATGGGCGCCAGTTCGAGACTCAGCTGCTCCACTTCCATCCAATCCAGCTCTCTGCTATGGCCTGGGAAAGCAGTGGAAGATGGCCCAAGTCCTTGGTCCTCTGCACCCACGTGGGAGACCCAGAAGAAGCTCCTGGCTCCTGGCTTTGAATCAGTGCAGCTCCGACCACTGTGGTCATTTGGGGAGTGAACCAGCGGATGAAAGACCTCTCTCCACCTCTGTCTCTCTGTAACTCTGCTTGCAAATAAATAAATAAATAAATCTTTTTTAAGAGAGAGAGAGAGAGAGACGCTGAAGTCCTGACCCCAGGGCCATCTGCAAACAGGGTTTTTACAGAGGCAGTCAAGTTCAAATGAAGCCGTTGGAGTTGGC